TTTTTTTTTTTAATTGATTTCAGAGGAAATTTTTCGTGCTGCATTGGTAAAGCATAAATTCTGTTTATTTTTAACCTAAGATATTTTGATGGGTGTAGGAATCAAGGTTTCATTGAGGTTTACATGAGAGTAGAATTCAGATTTCGTTTGTGCGCCAAAGAGTTGAGAACTAAATACATAAATAAATAAAAAAAAGAGAGGGGGAGGGCACCTCGCACATTGCAGTCTTACTGGCGTAAGCGAGCTGAGCTCCATTTTCATTCCCCAGACAAAGTGCATGTTTGCGTGGAGTTTGCCTTTTCTCCTTGGCCATTCTGATGCATGGACCAATGAATCCATTTTGCCTGACAAGATTGTCTTGACATTGCCTGTCTTCAGAAAAGTCTTATTCGTCGTCTTCCTACTGAGAAATTTAAAGGATTCTATCTGCTGTTGTTACTGTAGCCGACAGTAGAGCATCTAGACAGCCGCTTTAGAGCACGTGGACGATCTTGAATTTGCATGTCGTTTTTCCTACATCAATTTTGATTAATGGCAGTTCTTTTGTTCCAAAATTCATGTTAAGTTAAACCTCTTTGTATGCAAAAATTGAGTGAGGCAGATTCAGGAATAGTTGTAGCTTAACAAATTGTAGTACAGTAGAATTCCAGAAATCCGCAAAGCTTGGGACCAGAGGTTGTGTGGATTTTATGATTTTGCGGATTTCAGGACAGAAAAGATAAAGCATAATATTCCGACTAAAAGTGCAAAATGAATAAGGCGTATTAGATACATTTAACTAAATTATTATATACATTATTGCAATAACTTAGTGCAATTTATGCATTAAGTTATTATTACATGCATAAATTGATTATATTAGTCATTGTATTATATGTACACAGCATCGAGGTTTGCCGATTTCGCCCATTTCCCGTTTCGGATTCCGGTGTTAGAATCACTGTTGCTGTAAAATTTCAATAGATTTTTTTATTTTTTCGTATATCATACATAATCATGCATAGACTCCAACTACTACGGATTCTCCGTAGTTTCTACGGAAATTCATGAAAAACTACGAGCTACGAAAAGTATGGAAAAAACTACTAATTTTACAGAAACAAGAGCAGAACCAGTACGCAAAACGGAACCAACTAATTCATCCGATGATTGGCTGAATACTCGTGTTATCATATATCACGTGTTGAGTGCATTCCTAGTTTTGAAGAATTAGCCAATCGTAGATCAGTAACTCCAACCGTTAACGACTTATCAATAATTCCACCCAATTGTCTGTCTCCCGGGGTTCCTCGCTGATGCGTGTTTAGGCTGCATTTCGGCTGCATTGTGTAGTTTACGGCGAGAGCTTAGCGTGTGTCTTGTGAACTGTGAATCAGGTGAAAGATTTTTAATCATAATGCTGCCTCGAACGAAGAAGCCAAAATTATCAAAGCAGAAGTTTAAAGATTCATATTCTTCAGAATTTCCATGCATTAAAGCGTCCGAAATTTCTGTGAATCACGCACACTGCAGTGTATGCAACAAAGACTTCTCAGTTGCTCATGGCGGAAAAGATGACTGTAAACGGCATGTGTTTTCTCAAAAGCATATAGAACTTGGCACCGTAAAATCTAGAGAAATAACAAATTTCTTAATAAAAGATGATGAAACAGATCCTATAAAAGCCGAATGCTATTTTGTTCGTTTTTTAATTGAACATAATCTACCGCTTTCTGTTTCGGATCATTCCAAAGAGCTTTTCAAAGCAATGTTTCCGGATTCTGCCATAGCAAAAAAATTTAGTTGCGGTCATACCAAAACTGCTGCTATTGTGAAAACGCTTGCAGAAAATACTGTTGCTGATATTATAAAATCAGTGTGCAGTACATCATTTTCTCTAAGTACTGATGGAAGTAATGATAACAATGATAACAAACTGTACCCATTGGTTATAACATACTACAGTAAAGAAAAGGGAGTGATAATTACTTCATTGATTTCTATTTTAGAATGCACGAATAATACAGGAGAAGGTATTTTTAATTGTATAAATGAAAACTTTAAAAACAAAGGTTTAGAATGGAAAAAATTGCTTATCATTTTCTTCAGATAATGCTAGTAATATGATTGGAAAGTTTTAAAGGTGTAGCATCATTTATCAAAATGCATCAACCAAGTATAATCACCCGAGGTTTGTCCGTGCCACCTCTTGCATATAGCTGCAAAAAAGGCTACTGAAAAATTAATTGACTCAGAAATCAAAATGTTGTTAATAGATATATATTTTTATTTGGAGAAAAGTTCAAAACGGAAGCATAGCTTCAAAGTTGCTCAACAAATTTTGGGACAGAACGCAAAATCTCATAAAATTCTGAAATATTGCAGTACGAGATGGTTGTCTCTTTTAGAATCTATAACAAGGATTTTGGAACAGTGGGATGCTGTGATAAATTTTTTTGGAGATAAACCAGATAACAGTGAGAATGAAGGAAAGAGATTGTAAAACATTAAAAAAATTTTACAGTCACCGACCACCAAATTGTACTTGTTATTTTTGAAAAATACTTTGCCTTTGTTTATAACAGTAAATATTAATTTGCATCAACAAGCTCCTTATATACATAAATTGAGAAGAGAACTTTTTGAACTTTTAATGAATTTGTTAGATTCGTAAAACCATCAGTAATTTCTAAAGAAAATGAAGATGTTACTCTAACATCTATTCCATTTCAGAAGTATAGTAAACAAAAGAAAATGAAAATTTAGTGATTGGTGCGGAAAAACAAGACTATATTTAAAAAATGCCAAGTTTGAATGAAAGTGAAGTGAAATCATTTTTCAATTCTGTGCGAGCTTTTTTTTGTAACTGCATGTTCATATATAATTGATAAATTTCCACTGAGTGATCCATTTCTAAAACATGCTGAAGTTGCTGACATCAACTTGAGAACTGAAGTCTCATTTTCATCTGTTCTTTACTTGATGAATACTTTTCCATCCATTATTGATGAAAAATGTCTTAATCAAGTAGAAATTGAATTTTCCATGTATCAAGTAGATAATTTGAAAGAAATTGTAGATTTGCGTATTGATATAGCATGGGGAGAAATTGCCAAATTAAAAAATATGAATGGGTGTATTAAATACAAAGTATTGCCTTCTGTAATGCTTGCTGTCTTAATCATACCTCATTCAAATGCAGCTTGCGAAAGAATTTTTTCTATTGTTAAAAAAAATCAGACGGAATTTCGACCAAATTTAGGTCTTAAAAATCTTGAAGCAGTTTTGATTGAAAAAATAAATATGCAGGCAAATGAAGAACTGTGTTATAAAAAAACATTCTCAAAATCAGAACTTAAGCTTGCTTAAGCATGCTACATATAAATCTTTGCATTCATAAATTATGCGTATTTTGTTTAATACTTATATGTATCATTCTTGGTTATTTAAATTTTATTTCCCTGTAGAAATCATATCCAGAATAAAGATATGATTTATAGCTTCTGATTTTTTCTATGATTAGTAGTGATTTGAAGTACTTTTTATTAGTGAATGCTTGAGGAGTTAAAAGAAAATTTCTAATTAAATGTGCATATAATTTACAAGGTATATTTTTAATTATTCAGTTTTATATGTATATGGATTTTAAATGTAATAAAATTGATTACAATTAATTATTAATTAAAATTAATGAATGGTTAATTACAACATACGCTACGCGCACATTTTCAAAGTTGTAAAAATGTCGTTCGCGCGTTGACTACTGACAAGGTTTGCTGAAGGTGGAGTCTATGAATCATGTCGCAATTGCATACCATTCTGCTATAAATCAAGGAGTAGCACCAGCTTCCATCTTTTGCAGAATTAGCACTTTTTGCGTTACCGTCAATGCAGCATGTTTACGTTTTTCAACGTTGCAAGCAGTCAAATCACAAGTGTGTTTCTTATCTGTTATTGTATTAAAAAGGGCTGAAATTAAAAATATTCTTCATTTATCCACAAAATATCGGGATAAAAAAAAAAGGCAGCACTAAACAATCTCGTGAAATCAAATAACAAAGCTCAGAAAATACAACAACGTGAATCGTGAACTTGAACAAAGAGTTGAGTGAATCGCCTGCTTTTTTACCTCGATGCAGAATAGAGGGGAAAAAACTTATTTATTTTATCTTATTTTTTTAAACTTTTTTATATCAATAATTTGGTACTTCCGTTTTGACTCATTATTATTCGGTAATTATGACGTCATTATTTGGTAAGTATTTTTTTCTTCGATATTTTGTACTCAATGTTGCGGTTTCCCAAACCTATAAACTGAATGTTTATATTCTGAGAGGCAAGGCGGATTTCAGGAGTTGGCGAATTTGAGGTTGGCGGATTTTCGGTATTTCATTGTATATACTTGATGAAGAAATTTTTAACTCTTAATGTGTACTTCAGTTCTTAACAGGGATATGAAAATAAGATTGAAATACTCTCCCACTGTAAGTTAATTTTTTTGATATTATGTGTTTATCAACTTATTGTGCTTAAATGATTTAAGTATTTACGAAACGAATAATTTTAACTTTATTACCGTGGAGAAACTTAAATGAATGATTTTATAACATTTCGATTTGTAATGGCAGATAAATAATAATGAAGTTCTGTTTAGAGCAAAACAATAATTTGTTTATTATTCAAAATGTGAATTATTTTTAATTAGCAAATTGAAATATGTATTGTTTAGGCATTTAAAAGAAAATGTAACCTATGATGATAAATTAGAATTAATAAATGTGTTTATTATCTTGCGGTCTGCTATAGTTTGGACACATAGAGCTGCACTGGATTTCAGACTTGTGTATAAAATACAATGCAAACTTGTACTAACCACTTATTATTAAGATATTTAATCGTTTGAGGATGCTGAGGTATTGATTAAATTAAATGAATGTATTATTTTATGGCAACTGAGGTAGTTAGCATTTTTTATTTTCTTAATCATATTTATAATGTATCTTTTATTTTTTTTAATGCAGGATACTGTGGATATTCTTATTGGTTGGCATATTGATGCTACACAGCAGCAATCTGTAATTGAGTTTACATCAAATACATTAATTGGCTTCCAGCAGTTTTGGATATCAGATATAAATTTTACTGCTACTCTCTTAGGTCAGTTTTTAGAAGATATGGAATCTTATGCTGAGGTATGTATTGAAAAATTAATTTGTAAATTTGTAAAAGGGTTTGAATATGATTTTATGAAGAATTTCATAGTTTTCCATGCTGATTTTCAAGCATGAAATTTATATGAATCTGTTTAAACATGAAATCTGAAATTAGTGTTGAATTGTATTTTAATCCTTGTTTAGAAGAAAGAAGTATATTATATATATAAATTTGAAATTGAAAAAAAATTTGATAGTTGTTTATATCTGGCCTTTTCTGAGTACAGTTTGATCATATAGGATTGCATTGTTTCTTTTTTAAATTTATAATTGGTTTTTACCAAGAGCATCATGTGTACAAATTTAACTGCTTTTTTAAAAGTTATTTATTATTGACTTAGATGTCTGCTGCAAGTAATTGTTCTAATATCATATTAAAATATTTTCTACAAACATGTTAAAAATCATAATAAAAATCTCAGATATTATTAAATAATAATGAAGGCCAGGTGCAGTATTGTTGGAGCTTTATACATGTGTAGTCTTTTTGCTGAATTGGGAGCACTAGTAATTCATCAATTCTCAAGTGCTCTTGACATATTGGAAGATGCAATGGACCATGAAACCTTTTAATTTCCATTATCAAGTACTTTCGATCTTAGTTGGATATTGCAGTTAGACAGTGTGTATTCCGTAATTGATCAGACCCTTTTTTTCTTATATTTTTTATTTTACAAATGCCAAACATTAGGGCTTAAGCCATTAGTTCACGGGCTCTCCAATACTTTCTAACAATGTCTTCATACCGAGAAAGTGCTATACAAAAATCATAGGCTGATTGGAGTATCACAAAATACAGTTTGAAGAATCCACCGTTCCAGTTCTGTAGAGGTAGTCACGTAAACAGTCATGTCTGGTCACACTTTGTTCTTGGAAAACTGAGAATAAAAGTTGTCTCTTGCCCTAGAATCCTCCAACTCATCCATAGCACGTTTAATCTTATCCTGCTTGAGAATTTTCTTGAGCATCAGGCTAACGGACAATTTAGTCGTATGAAAAGAAAGCGGTCGATTTATGCTTTGCATTATCAAAGATCCTTTTTTAGCCAATGTATCAGCTTTTATATTTGCCATAATTCCACAGTGGGCCTATTGGAAAAAAATTCTCTGTGCCATTATTGTATTGTAGGCCTTAAGCAAAAGCCTACAATATAAAATTTTTTCTTATATTATTTTATGGGTTCTTTCTATTGATGAGTATTACCATTTGGTAATGATGACAAATTGTTTGTATATACATAATTGTATATACATAATGTGAATGCATATCTATAAAATTTTACAATCTTATGCAAGAAATTCGTATTTTTATTGAATTTTGAACTTTTTATAAAGGTAGCAAAAGTTATACCAGTTCAGAAATTTGTCTCAATCTATATTTTAAATGCATTTTATTTCTGTCTGCATTTCAAGTGCAGATCTGTACTTTTAAGAGCTCTTGGCAAAAATTTGGGCTCTCATTTGAATTCTCCTTTATTGTATAAGAAACAAGTTCTTCAATTCTGGAGTATGAATTTTTTATTGTTTGTGACATAGCATACTGATTTTGAATATTTTTTCAACTTTAGGATCAATTGTCTACAAAAATTTTGATTACGTTAGAATAATATTATATTGTTACCTCAGTATATGTCCGCTTTAAAATAACCCCGATTTGATATACATTCTGTTTAGATATGAACATTTTTGTTTGCAGCATGACTTACAAACAAAACATGACTTCGATAACTCATGACTGCACTTACTATTTTTGTTTACCTCGTTCAAAATAATGCTGTGACTAATTTTGCACCAAAGTATGATAGTAAATTTATGACAATCTCTGTTACCAAATTTGTACTCATCCAAACTAGGCATCATCTGTATCAGTTGCCTTCAGTGTTTCTGTAACAAGCTCAGATAAGCCATAATATCATTATCTAGAATAATAATGTCACATTTGTGAAACATCCTGAGGAGAAGGCAGAAGTCTGGGCAGATTTTTAGTAAAGATCAGATTTGGTAAATCTTCAACCAGTCTTCAAAAAGAAAGAGATGAATAAATATGTTAAATTTTCATTTATGCAGTGGGTATATATTTCACATTGTTATACTAAAGACAATAGGATTTTTTGTAAGAATGAATCAGTTATTTTTCCTTCATTTCTTAATGCCAAATTTCATATGATATATGTCCTGTCTAGTCTAGTATAAATGCAAGGATCTGTTATGGATTGATGAGATGTACTGAGATACCACTATATTTTAAAATTATATTTTTTAGAAATAATAGTGTTTAAAAAACATTTTTTATTTCCCACTGTCATGTTCTAAAATGTCTTTTGGTGTTTTTTTAATACTCTGATTATAAAATTAATGTAGGTAATAAATGGACAGTTTCCAAATTAGTTTTTAATAAAAGGAAAAAAAAAAAAAAAAGATACTGTAAATAAGTTGTAATTAATTTAATTTCCATTCCTCATGTAATTGTCCCAAAATACTCAGTTATGTCTCTTTTCGATAAATTTGTTTTTGCTTTTTACCTTTTGAAAATTTTTTCAAAATTCTGATTTTTATTATCATGGAGTTAGTAGAGTTTGTTAATAATATGATTACAAATTGTGCTTTTTTTTTAAACTACATGCATAAATAATGCCTCACCATAAATAGCAAAATTCACTTGAATCAAAGTCAATCAGTATATTGATTTATATTATGGCAGAGGAGAGCACAAACTGTTTCATCTTGGTCTTTTTTGATCAGGTGATTACTGGTAGAAGCTGGTGATGCAAGCTGGGTTATGTGCTTCTGATGAGTCTTGTGCATTGATAAAGCTGTTTTCAACAATGCGTTTTAAAGTTTTCATTAAAAAAATTGAGAGCTGTTGTGGATCTTCTCAAAAAGTTCCTTAAAATTTTAGGCTTTGTTATTTACATGTTAATCTCATTGCATTATTAATGTTAAATTTCAAGTTCATTCATCAGCTGGTCTTTTAAGTAGCAAAAGATAAGAACAATGTTTCATTTGTGCGTATTTATGTGGACCTATCAGTGTCAGTTCATAAAAATAAGACAAAAAGGGTTTTTAAAATAGAACTTTTTTTTTTTTTTATCATTACTTAGTAAAATTATATTGATTAAATCATATGTTAAGAATTTAATGAGGAGTAATTATCATTTTTATGCATATAGTTAATTTTTGGTATATTATTAGGGTAAAATTTACTACTTCTGTCTTGATATTTTAGATATTTTTCACTAGTTCTTAAATTTTGCTGCAGTACTAATGAACATTTCTGAGATCTGTCTCTTTTGTAGGGTTTGCCCAAGATTAAACCACAACCTAAAAAGTCTGTTATGTTTCTTAAGGTAAATTATTTGTAATGGGCAAATTTAACTTGCAGTGGGTTTTATGAATCGAAACAACATACTTTGCTTGGCTTGTTTACTCTTCATTTGCATGAATTGAGTGTATAATTTGTTTACCACTTATTATTAAACAACTTGCATGAACTTGCAATTTGCCTTAATTTAATAATTATTAATCTGCTTTGGGCTTTTGTCAAAAACTGAATATGTTCTGTTTGATATTTCTTGTATTGCTATTTTATATGCATGCATATCAATAAATTTTTTATTCCCAAAATTAATGCAGTACAAAGTTTGAAATCCAGACTTGTCGGGACTTCGATGATTTCAGATTTGGGATTTTTCTGGATATTAGATCATCAGTTTAAATCTACTAAGATGGCATGTAGGAATTGTAAAATAAAAAATATGAAATTGCGATTAATGAAAAACTGAAGTATTTATGATCTAAAGGCTGTCAAAATTTACAAAAAATAAAAAGCTTAACCCTCTCACTGCATACTTTTTTTTTTTTTAAATCAAAATAGGTTCAAAAATTGCATAGTTTTTTTATTACCTATTTCAAATCTACATATATTTTAGAGTTAAAATGTATAAAAATTTTTTTCTGTAAAGGATTTTTTTTTTTTTTTTTCCAGTATAGAATTAGATTATAGAAAAAGGTTGTCAGAATACTAAAATTGAAGAATAATTATATAAAAGGAAAATTTTGAAATTAATATTGGTTAAATTAAATATTTATTTTATAAAATACAAAGGTAAAACATATATATATACTAATGAAATTGTTTCATAAGAATAAATTGAATTTAATTAAATAAATTTAATTCAAATTAAATAATTTAAATAATTCTTTGTGCGATTGTTGCAAGGAATGAAATTTAAATTTAAACAAATTAAATTTAAATTTTAACAAACACGTATAAAAGTAAAAAAGCAAATTTAAAGCCAAAATTGAAAAAAAAAAAAAAAAAAAAAAAAAAAAAAAAAAAAATTTGGCTTTAAATTTGCTTTTATATGTGTTTGTTAAAATTTAAATTTAATTTGTTTAAATTTATATACATATGAAAATATTTGCATAATGTAATATTTTGTACATCAATTTTGCACCACTGTCGAACATTTTCAATAGAAACTGAATTTTCATATATATCACTATCTGCAGAGGAATCCGAGAAATTCTCATCAGTTTCTTTATAACTATCTTCAATATACTTCAAATCAGAGTCAGAACTACTATCAGTGTCAGGAATATAGGTTATATCACTCGTGAAATGCTTCCTGCCAGGCATCTTTGAGCTCTGAAAAGCACACGCAAAATGCTACATTACGTATTCTTGTACATTAGGCAGAAATGTGGACAACTAACACCATCTGTTAGCCCACATCACTAAATAAACAATTAAACATCGCAGAAAAGCTGAAAGGAAACCTTGAACAGGGAAAAAGCGGGTTGCACAGTTAAATAGACGGCAAAAATTCATCAAAGTCGCGGGTTGCACTGTTAAATAGAAGGCAAAAATTCATCAAAGTCGCGGGTTGCACAAATTTTGCTAATTTTACATTACTTGTGGAAATTGCGGGATGCACAGTGAGAGGGTTAATATTTATTTGTTTACCTTATTAAACATTTCTTTCAATGTAAGTTGTTTAGGTTGCTTTGTTTTTTGTGCTAATACTTTCTCTTTAATTCTATAGACAGACATAATCTCTTGTTTAGTTACATTGTTGAAGTCCTGTAACTGCTGTTTCAAGAATTCTGACTAAATTGTCTCTCGAAATTTTCTTGTTTTCAGTAACCTCTCTTTCACTTTCTGCACTATTGGTAGCGGTATTTTTTGGATCTAGAACCATAATATAGGTTTTGCCATTCATTCATTAATTGATTGATGAGCATTGTTATCACAGTGAAAAACTTCTTTTATATCATCTTCATTTATTACTGCCTCTCCACTTTTCTTTATAAAATCCGTTAATTGGAAAATTTCACCTTTGTTTTGCGACATCCGAAAACCTTTAAAATTAGCGGCTATCATCATCAAATTTATTTTTAGCATATGGAACGAAATTTTTGGTAAATTTTTCCTCGTCAACATTTTTTAGCGCATTTAACTTAAATCTGTAATCATCGCCAAGCGCAATGTCAACATAAAAAGTTACCATACTCTTTTATTATTTGATTACTAACATAAAAAGAAATTGTTTAGGCATCGCTATATGAGTCAGTACTCAAATTGTCATGTTTTGATAAACATGCGGTTATGAAAGGAAAGTGTAATAAATAATGAGTCGCCAGGTTGGCATCAGATCAACGATGTCTTGGGTTGGCAACTAAGTAATTGCGGATTTCACTCATAGATGGCTTCAGTTGAATTTTTAGGGTTGCAGATGTAGTACAAATGTAAAACACATTTTGTTATTTGATAGTTAGTTGGCAATTCAGCTGTCAATCGATAAAAAAAGTTTTTTGATCGGTTGCGTAGTTTTCGTTTGGCGTTCGTTGAAAAATGGAAAATCAAAAGGAACATTTTCGTCATATTTTGCTTTTTAATTTCCGCAAAGGGAAAAACGCATCACAAGCTCATAAAAAGTTATGTGCTGTTTATGGTGACGAAGCCTTAAAAGAACGGCAGTGTCAGAATTGGTTTGTCAAATTTCGTTCTGGTGATTTTTCACTCAAATATGAAAAATGCTTTGTTCATCCAGTTGAAGTTGATGACGACCTAATCAAAGCAATAATCGATTTGGATCGTCACAGTACAACACGTGAGATTGCAGAGAAGCCTCATGTATCACATACATGCATTGAAAATCACTTAAAACAACTTGGCTATGTTAAAAAACTCGATACATGGGTTCCTCATGAACTGAAAGAAACGCATTTAACGCAATGCATTAACAGCTGCGATTTGCTAAAGAAACGTAATGAAAATGATCCATTTTTAAAACGACTGATAACTGGCGATGAAAATGGGTTGTTTTCAACAATATCAAGCGGAAAAGATCGTGAAGCAGGCCAGGTGAACCAACTCAAACAACATCAAAAGCTGATATTCATCAAAAGAAGGTTTTGTTATCAGTTTGGTGGAATTACAAAGGAATTGTCTACTTTGAACTCTTACCACCCAACCGAATGATCAATTCTGATGTCTACATTGAACGACTAACGTTAATTAAACAGTGCAGTTGAAGAAAAGCGGCCCGAATTGACAAATCGAAAAGGTGTTGCATTCCATCATGACAATGCAAGGCCACACACATCTTTGGTCACTCGGCAAATATTATTGGAGCTTGCTTGGGATGTTTTGCCACATCCACCATATAGTCCTGACCTTGCACCATCTGATTACTTTTTGTTTCGATCTTTACAAAGTTCCTTGAATGGTAAAAATTTCAATAATGATGATGATGTCAAATCGTACCTGATTCAGTTTTTTGCTAATAAAAACCAGAAGTTTTATGAATGTGGGATTATGATGCTGCCTGAAAGATGGCAAAAGGTCATTGATCAAAATGGGCAGTACATTACAGAATAAAATTATTTAGTTCCATGAAAAAATTGTCTTTGATTTTCTAAAAAAAATCCGCAATTACTTAGTTGCCAACCCAATATCTATGTGGAATGTTTCGGTTTGAGATATGTGCCAAAAAGCAGATACGCAGCAACAGAGTCAAATTGCCTATCCTACAAATTTATGCTAAAATGTTTGTTTCTTCAATAACAAGGTATTTCATTTAGTGTTGAAGTGAAATTAAGGATCTGTACTCTCCAGATGTTTTGTTATGCATGGAGGGGGAGGGAATCAAATGCTCATGCGTAAAACCTAGGAGAAAAATGTTGGTGGTTTTGAGGTCCGGATTTTAGGTCATTCCGTATAATGGACATCAGGATTTCGGACTTTGTACTGTAGTGAGTATTTATATATATTAAACTGTCTCTCAATCTTTTTCCCATATGTATTGTTAATATGAGTTCGTTTGCTATAGAAAGTTTATATTCTTCTAAAGGTCATTATTATCATTTGTTCATTTTGTTAGATATGTTTATTGAAACAAGTCTTCTTCCCTTTTTAAGTATTTCAAATTATTTAATGTAATGCTTTGTGCCATTTTATCCACTTGATTATTTATGATGGTAAATGTAAGAGTTATTATTTATAACATATTGTTACTTAGTTAATATTCCTTTTACTTTTCACTGATTTGAAATTATGTAAATTTTCTTTCTATCCATTTGCGTTTTTAGCTTTACATCCTTGATTCTTTTATCCTCGCCACATTAAAAGTAGCTTATTATAATCAAAACAAAATAAAATGTTGCATGATTAATCAAGAAATTTAAATGAGAATTTGTATTTATAGATTAAGAAAATAAATCATTTATTCAGGAAGCAAAAAATTTGTATAATTTTGAATTCCTGATATTTGCTTTGCTGTATGTGTTTGAAGTGCTGGGTGACAATTGCAACCAGTTATTAAGAGTGTTGTAAGAAGAATAATAAACATGTTTATGCATAATCAGGTGTTGCTAGTGAAAGACACTGTTGGTAGAGCACTAGGGGATTGTTATTAAATCTGATCTAAAGTCATGCAGTAGTATTTATTTATATAAATTAATTCTGTTTCCTATATGATCTCATGTTCATCTATCTTCAAAATAGTGTCTAATAAACTGAAAATGCTTTGTTTCTGGATATGATTTATTACCATTGAAGTCATTTCTATAAAATATAAAGGTGTTTTGAATTAAATTATTGCATGTTAAATTGGTATGTCATTACATTCTGGTTTTCCACCTTCTAATTTTCTTTGTTAAAGATTTCATAGTTTAATATCAGTTTTTTTTTAAATCTTACTAATGATACAGAAGAGTGTATTTATTTATTGTTTATTAGAAAGTGCATAAAAATCAATTGTTTCTCATTTTGTTTTTTTAAATGATATGTTGTAAATTACACAGCAATATCAGAGTTTAAAAATTTATCCATTTTAAGAAAATGTAACAAGAAATAATAAGGCAATCTAAAATATTCCTGTTACATTTTTTGGAAATTCATACTCATTGCTTACGTTTTTAATTCATTAAATGTCAAATGCTTATCAAGTAGAAGGATTCCTAAAAAATATATATGTAGAATACTAAATGTGCAGTCATGAATCCAGTACTTCTAAATTCTGGCTGTAGACATGGCTGGGTGGATAAGACAGGAAACTAAACTAATTTGACAAAACTAATTTCACCACCTTTATTTGTAAGCACATCAAAATTTATTTCTTTGGCAGACAAATTACTTTTCGATCATAGTTGAATATGAATAATTTTTATATACACCGATAAAAAGCTACGACATCATCTTGGGCAAATAAGCAGCAGTGTCTTACCGGCGGGGAAGCGTAAGTGAAAGAGAACGCAGCAGTTCAAAGGAAGAAGGGAGGAAGTTGATAGTTTCAGTTCGAGTTAGAGAAAGTTTTGGTTTACAATTAATTTGATTGGACAAGAGATATCTGCATTAAAACGTTACATAACATAAAAAAAATCTGGAATTTGGGAGAACAGATGAATTTAGGGGGAGATCGCCAAATCTAGAATGTTAATTTTTGAGGTTGCCAGTTATTTTTTTTAAAAACAGCTATTGTATTTTGTTATATCTTACATATATGAAATAAGTTTACATATGACATTAAAGCGATAACATAATTTCTTCCATTTATTTTGGTTTTCTCTGAAATAAAATTGTTGATTAAACCCAAATTTTTTAAAAATAAAAACTGCCTTTAAAATATCCAGTTTCTTATTGAAATTTATTAGTATGAAATATTTCATGTAAAATATCTGAATAAAATCATATACAGTCAAAAGTCTTTAATCCGGACTCATCGGGACTTCGGCGATTCCGGATTATCGATTTTTCCGGATTATAGATCATCAGTTTAAATCTGGTAAGATGGCATGCAGAAATTATAAAATTAAAAATATGAAACCGTAATTTATAAAATAATGAGTAATTATGATCTAAAGGGTATCAAAATTAACAAAAAAAAAGAAGCTTAATATTTATTTGTTTACTTTATTAAACATTTCTTTCAACGCGCGCATGCGTAAAGCATACATTACGCATAGCCGAAATTAGAAAATTACAACCAAAAAAACTATTTGATTTGTATTCGTGATATTTATAATAACGAGGAATTTGATTTAAATAATATCAAAGATGGAGTATATCGAGATAAAATACTACATTTAGTAAGGAATTATAAGCCGAATAAAATAAAAACAACTGCCCTGAAGATAATGATAGTGTTGACAGATCAACTTCCAATTCATTGCGCGCCTCGACGTCCCCCCCCCCAGCACAGAGCAGCGTGAAATTGATAAACAGATTTCGGAACGGTTAGATAAACAAAGGATATGTCTTTATCCATTTTTTGTAGCAATTCCACTTTTTGTTTGATGGGCATCGAAACATACTTTCGTTTTGTAGATCCTTTGGGAGCTCCAGCATCGGAAATTCTATTTGAAATAATCGAAAGTTCAAGCTTACTTTTATAAAATTGCTCTTACAGTCTGCAAAAAATAATAAGCCGGATCCAGTTCGAAGATTAAGGAACAATGCAATCATCAACATTAACTGAAATAGATAATTAGATAATTTTAGCTTATACCGTCCGTTATACATTAAACGCGCACGCGAAAACGTATTCTGCGCGTGCTTCAACGCGGCGCATGCGCAGAAAGATTTTACCTTTGAGGTCCGGATTATGGGTGTCCGAATTAACGACTTTTGACTGTATAAGGTATTTTGCTATCCCATGAAATACCCATGAATTATTTTTTTCCAATAAATTTGACAGTCTAAAACTGTTATCAGACCTGAAAGCTATGCATGACTGTGTGTCAAAAGAAAAATTTCCAGGAATCTTCGTTTTTGTGATATCTGATTGGTTGACTTATTCAAGAACTGATTCTATGAAGGAAACCTGTACAAGACAGAGCTGTAAATAAAATTTTTGCCTCAATATCAAATTGTCCTGCATATATAGCCAAGGCAGATTCTAGCAAGACCTGTTTTGGCTAGCAATCCTCAAATGGTAGGAAATGGAGAAATTCGTTTCTAGGGGGGGGGAATCTAGTTTCACAAGTAATAAGAAGGAGCAGTATTTCAGTCTGTCAGCAGTAAAGAATTAATACATAAACATGTAAACTATCAAGATATTGCTATCCTTTGATGATCCTTTAAATGACTGACTAAAAGGGGAGAGATCATTTCTATTCATTTAGTAATGCCGTCAAAGAAAATGTATTCTGTTTTCAGTGATCATTCAAGTTAAATATTTTCATAAAATTAGTAATTTAGTATTAATTGCACATATCAACATTTTATGTATGCTCTAACTAAACTGTAGAAACTTTATTATTTATTTACTTAACAATAAAAATGTATCATTTGGATTAATAAATGAAAAATTAGAATAAAAAACCATGATGATAAAAAATGTTTATACCGAATTTAGAGGTCTTGCTGTAGCAAATATCAGCTACTGTTCTAATCATAAGTATTTCTATGATTCTATTCAAAATCATAAGCATCTATCTGTTTCTAAATCATAAGCATTTTCTATTGTGGAAACCTGCAATTTTCTGAATATTAATTAAAAAAAAGTGATCATCTCATAATCTGCTTTAAATGGTTGAAGGCCATGTAACTGTCATACATTTTTATTTTAATTTGTCATATCTTTGCAGTGAATTATTTAAATGACTGACTAAAATGATTTTTATTCTTATATCGTTAAAAATTAAACATTATTCTTTTCTGTAGTAATTTAAGTAATGTTCAGCTGTTATTTATTTTATATGACTTAAAACTCTCTTTATTTTAAAAATTGATATTATGTTTCTGTAAAGATGTAATTAATAATTTTATTTCTTTTTGTTGCTTTTGATTCAGTGTAAAATGTTACTAAAAAAGATACTTGTTAAAAGGATAATTGGTATGTTAAGTGGGATAACTATGCAATAGAATAAGAATCTTGTGTTGTTTACAAGTAAATATAATATGCTAAATTTATTTACATATATCTTGAAACACTTGTTAAATACTTATTAACAATGCATGTTTTTTCAAGTAGGTGCTAATGCAAATTTGGATATGTTTTTTCCCTCTTCTAACTTTTTATCTTACTCATTGTTGTACCTGCATGATATTTTATATAAATTCTGAAAAAAATTATTCTCTATTGTGAAGACCTGTTTAAGATGAATAAAATTTTTAACTTGTACATTGTCTTTACTTTTAAGGGAAACTAACCTATATTGTCTTTTTTGTTTTGCATAATTTTTCAAATTCAGTTGAACTGCAATTTGATTAAACACATTTTTTTTTCATTATTATGCATATGAGGTTCTCAAATGTATATGTGTGTTGTTTAATGATGATATCTTTTTGAAAACATTGAAGATATTTTAAGAACTTGGGTTTAAGTTGAAAGCAGATAGAGTATATATGTGTTAATAAATGTGATAATTTGTTATTCAATTGCTTTAGAGGCTTCATAAATATCAATTTATTTTAAAAAAGCCGCTGTCATAATCTTGAATGCCATTAGCTTTTATTTTCAAACAGTCATAAACATGGGTTTCCTGATATGTATTTACAAATTAAAAATAGTTTTGTTTTCAGGAATTGGCTCAATCAAAACTAAATTCTTCAGGAAGTGTAGAAAGCCAACTTTGTTCTCCTGAAGAAAATGTAGCTAAAATAAAAAGTTTGATTAGGTATATTTTTCTTTTTATAACTTTGATTATTATATTTTGTAAAATTCAGGGTAATTTTTTAATTGTAATTTCAAATAAATTTCTTTAATATTCTAGGGTTTTAATTACTGTGTTAAAAAGTATTGAAGATTTAATAGTACCTGATGAAAGTGGCCCTATATCATGGGGATTTGTTGTACAGGTAATTGGTGTTTCATATTTGTACTGTTTATGTACTGCACTTCATAATTTCATTGTTTTAACTTCTGTTTCATCTTTACTTTTCAGATGCTAAAAAGTTTTTTAAAGTATATTAAAATAACCATGGAATATCATTACTACTGCGATTTAATGACTTCAGGTAATTGATTTATAATCTGTAGCTTCATACTTCTGTTAATGGAAAGTCTTTGTTGTTTGCTATTTTTGAGTTATTTTAATACATTGTTAATTTACTTTAAAGTTTATCATGCTCCCAGATGGGATAGTAGTTAGTGATGCTGATTGCTGCACTGAGGAGTGCGAGTTAGAATTCTGAAGAAGGCATGTGTTTTTGTAAATGCATAGTATATGAGGGGACTAAAAAAATCTATATGGTGAGCCAAAAGAGCTCGAATGATTTGGTGGTACGAGAAGAGGGATGGGAGACCTTCAAAGTTGAGGCAGAAGTAGGCAAAATTGTACTGTCACTTATATCATGGAAATGATAGACACAATCTTGCAATTCTTGTCATGAGAAAATTTGTGTTCTGATGAGGTCAGATAAGTGAGACTGGACGCAACAACAACACATTTTATGATTTAAAATTAATATGGACTGAAAAATAACCTTTTTTTTAATAGAATGCTAAAGGTAAATGTCCAAAGCATTTTGTTATTTATTTATAAATCTAAAAAACATTTAAAGAATTTTTTCTTCAGCTTCAGAAATTTTTTCTGTTCTCTAGACGTTCAAAGACTGCAGAGAACTTGCTCAGAATTTTTAAAGTTATCTGTAATTGGTCTTAGTTTTAAAAATTAAATATTTCTGTTAATCTTATCTTTTTTAATGTTGATGTGTTTTAATTCATGCATTTTGTCTTAGGTGATGCAATTTAATATGTAAAAGTAAAGCTTATTTTGTAGGAATCTAGAATTATTTACACAGATGTGGCCATTTAATATTATTTCAGAAATAATATGTAATTCAAAAATTTAGTGGTTAGTCCTTAAGAACTATCAATTCTGGAGAAATGTAAAAGTTTCTTTGTTGCATTCTCTGTGAGACATACTGCTACTTCCTCCTTTACAAAACTCATGGAGCATTTTTTTTCAGTATGTAAAGCAATTTTCTATTATTTTTTTATCAAATCCACATTTCATGGAAGAATAGTTGTCAGTGCATCAGGGAGGTTGGATTACTTCCTTTCCACATTTGAGGAAGACCTTCCCAGGGATGGTCCCGGGGTCTCCCACCCTTCTCCCTTACTACCAAACTACATGAGAAGGCTTGTATATTTAGAGTGCTCCCATGCCGCAAAGACATTATGCATTTGCAAATATCCATGCCTTCTCTGGGATTCAAACCCGTGCCCTTTGCTACGGCAGTTCGAGTCACTAACCACTATACTGTCTATCTGGGAGGCAGAATTTTCTTTTAATAGAAGCATTAAGTACAAATGGGAATCACTACAAATATATATATTTACAATACTTCATAAAGTTTGTACAGTAGTTTGCTTAATCTAACAATTTTCCAAGCACTTAATAGTACTTTGTGAAAATAACACAATTATCATTAGATCATTATTTGATGTTTGGAAGATCAGTATAATCACGGAAACAAAGTCAGATTTCATCTGTGCATGTATATGCAAGGAACAGAGTAATTATTAAGTCATATTGCAATTAAGCAAATCACTATGAATAATTTTTATTTTGTGTACAGAAAGATGTATAGATGAAACCAAAAGAAAATTTTACTTGATGATGCAAGTGATACAACTTTATTGTGTATTTTCTATTATAAAATATTCATCAAATCCATTATGTCTATTAGCAGAGTGGTCAGCAATTTCTGGCCATGTTACCTTTCATTTGTGTACATTTGTATATGTATGCATTCATTTAATAGAAAGTATGTGTTTTTTATATTTGTTGATCAGAGCATGCTGTAGAAATATGGAACCTCTGGAATTAATGTAATAAATAATGATCTCTGTTTGTTAGATTTTATTGCAGAATATGGCTTTTAGTAAATAAATTCTCCATTTCTGTTACAAGCTTTTGCCACCTTTTTTATGGAAATGTTGATGTACTGAACTTTTCAGTCTGGCATTTACCAACTTATTGCTTACTTGAGTAAATCAAATATATTTCTTAAACTTAAGTATTATAATAGCAAAGCACATTTCGTCAGAAAAGGTTTTTTTTTTTTTTTTTTAAATTAAGTTTTGAAAACATATATAATATAATTTTATTGTTTTTCTTTTTAATAGCTAATGAATGCCTAGATTTGCTTTTAAAATTGGCCCAGTTACATTCCAAAGATGCTCTTGATGAACTGATGTCTTTTGTTGATTTACTGCAAGAAAAGAAATCCAATCCCCTTAGTGAATCTCATCTTGTATCTATTCTTCGAATGATGATACGTTTTGTAAAAACTGTTGGAACTTATCTTCCTGTGAAGTTTGTTACAAAATTATTTTCTCCAACCTCACTATCACGGCAGCTTCGCCTCTCCCCATCATCAAAGGTTTGTTATGTGATGAAGTTAATATTTTAATCTGTATTGAAATGAAAAATATTTCTTATATTTGCACTGCAAATCATTTTCATCAGTTTCAATAAATTTTCTTTCTTTCTTTCTTTCTTTCTTTTTTTTTTTTTTTAGATTCAGAAACTTCTTATTGAACTCTATCATATTGTCCTAGCTGTGAAAAATGTCCAAATTGTTGAAGAATTTTACAAATGTATAATGAATGATATAGTGGATGCTCATAATGCATTGTTAAAATCATCTGAGGAAAACTCCATATGCTCCTATTACAGCGAAGTTTCTCTTCTACTGAGTATATGTGCACTGGTAGAAATAGGGAATATAAAACATTCATTAATAAGAGTAAGCTATAACAGTTATTAGCTTTTCGGTTATATGTTCAATTGCTTGGTTTAATAAATCTATGAATTGTGTACTTGTCAGATATATGTTAAAAACTGTAACGGTTTTCATGTTAAAAATCATAATTTACTACACAATAGTTCATAAAATATTGTAATATAGTTCTAAAAGTTATAAAGTAAATAGTGTGAAGTTTGTCATTAGCATTTACATTATGTGGGAGATGAAACTTAGTTCTCCCAGCCTTGAAGAAAAAACAGTACATTTTTAACAGTTTGGAATTTTGTTTGTTTTTTAGTAAAGGTCCTTACTGTGATTTATCTATAATTTTAATAATGTACCATACCTCCATCTGCAGTTACTTAAGTTATCAATTAATTTAACATGTTTATACATCTTTGCATAGGGCAAAGAAATAAATCATGTATTGAATTTAATATGCCATCATCTATTTATCAGCATAGTGTGTTATTTTTATACAAAAGTTACTACAGAACATTAGGAGATAATGAATGAGATAAATATGTATTTTAATATATTAAATTTAAAATTTTAATGTTAATAATATTTTAAATTATTGTCTTACTTTGCACAATTAATGACAACAATAATGTATTGTATAAAAATTTTACTAGGAAGTAGTTTGCTAGAAACATTTTAATTCATCAAAATTGTCTCAAATTTTGATTATTTTCTTGATATAGATGTTTGCCTTGAAACCCAGTTTCTTTGACTTAATGATAATTCAGCTGAAGCCAACTTCTCCAGAGTTAGCTAAACGATTTCCTGCATTGCAGTCAGCTATTTTATATACTTTATATTCTCATTGTCAAAGGTAATCTTATTTTGATTTTAAAAATTTTTATGAACGCATGTAGTTTCTTTTAAATTAAATATTTCATTTCTTTTATTTATCTTTTTTAAAATTTTTATTTTAAATATGATTTGAAAACAAAAAAATTATCAGTTACAGAGGGTGTTTACACGTTTTTATAACAATTTCAATAAAGTAGTTTGAAAATATAAAAGCATTATACTCGAATTATAGATAGTCAGTGATAGAACTTTCCAAAACAAACAACTTTCACAATAGAATGTGGGGTCAAAAAGCAAATAGTGAGCTGCAAGGGGACTGCTGCTTGTTGAAAATGGAGAACACAAAAAACTAATTACTAAAGGATGAAGAATCTTTTTTATTGAAAACTTAACAGTGAATGTTGAAATGAGTGAGCACCAGTTGCAATATAAGTGTCATATTGGCAACAGTGAATCATGCACACATCATGATTCCTTACTTTTCACGAATGTCTGCAGTTACGATGTTAATTCGAATAAGAAGATCCTCTGGTGATTGAATGGACGTCTCGTGAACAACGCTTTGTAGCTCTCCCTAGAGGAGGAGGGGGGAACCCACAGGCAGGACAGATCAGGAGGTATGGGAGGCCAAGAGACAGTCCATCTGTTTGGAAAGAAAATGTCCAGGTAGTTTCACACAGTTTTTGAAGAAATATGGTGCTCAAGTTGCATGTCATGCTGCAACCGCATTTTAACATATGCTGCCACATTTTATGATAATTGGACAGCAGTTGTCTGTACACGGTTGTCTTAAGACATGAGCTAGTTAAGTGATCATGGATAATCTCTGCCTGCACATTCATGGAGAACATTTGCTGGTAGCATCTTGAACATGTAACGTGAATTTACAGTGGCCTGCTCATGATTGTTGTGTATATATTAAATATGACATCTTCTGTAAATGTAGCCTTGTCCATAAACAGGACAGATGATTTGTTGGAGTAATTGATGTGCAAATACTACATACAAAATTCATTTAAGAGCTCGGGATGGTAAGCTTGTAACCTTTCTTCATGTAACACATGTCATACTGTTGTATGGTTAATACCTGGGTCATAAGCTATTACTTGCGCGTTTTTTTTTCCCAGCCTGGTCGTAAATTATCTCTGTTCAATTCTCGTGCTCCTTGGTCAACCTGAGTCATGCCTTTGGTTGCAGAAGGAACCTGTTTCTGAGACTTACTTGTGCAAGCATTGTAATGTTCTCCGATCAGGCAATGCCCTATTTAGAAATTGATCCTGGTAAAGATTTACCACTTCTGCAGCATTTCCGTTTGCTGACCCTGTAGAAACATTAGGTATTTTAGAAGCAAGAGAGATGAAAAATTAGCAACTGCCCTTCGCTAGGAATCGAACTACGGACCTCTTATTACGCGCTGAGCATACAGACCACTACACCACAAAGGCTCGCTAAGAAGGCAGGAGAAATACTTTATGTACTCCACCTTTTAAAGGGCAACTGTGTTTTTTTAAGGGGATCCAATCACCAAATCCTGGGTGTGGAGAATCCTCATCCAACACCCTTTTAGTTCGGGCGCCACTGTAGAGACATTAGGTATTTGGGAAGCAAGAGAGATGAAAAATTAGCAACCGCCTTCGCTGGGAATCAAACCACGGACTCTGGAATACCGGCCCAGTGTGCAGAACCACCACACCATGAAGGCACACTAGGAAAGTAGGAGAAATACCTTATAACCCTTATATAAGTGAATAGGAGCCTTCTCTGCATTAAAATATTGCTGCATCTCTGGCGATGAATAGAGCTGAATGACAGGTTCAACAAATGGTGGTGTTTCATCCATTCTGAAGAGAGCACCTTCTCGTGGCTTACTGTTTGCTTTCCAACCCCACATTGTGTGGTGAAAGTTGTTTGGGAAAGTTCTATCAGCCTTAACAATTGCAACCATGAGTTTTTTGGTTACACCCTGTGTGTGTGTGTGTGTGTGTGTGTGTGTATAGCTAACTGTATACCACTGTATATATACACACAGTAGTGTACAGTTGACTATTTAGAAATTCTTAAAACTATTTTAAAGTATTATCAAAAACCATAAAATATTCATTCGCTTTTGCTGATTTACTATGTCTCGTAATTCTTGTAAAAATTGTAGGCACTCTCACTTCGTGAATAGTAGTGCTCTTGTAAATCCAAATGCTGCATCAGGATCTCCGGTATCTACATCTGGAAACACTTCGCCTATTATGACTGATGTTCCACCAACTTCTCCCAGCAGTGGCAATTTAGAAAAAGTTATTAAGCTTTTAATAGACCTTCTTGATGGACCTCATAATTCATATGACAGCAGGTCAGTTTTTATGTATAAAGCAGTATTTTGTGTTTATGTGTTAAATTTCTGTTTTTTAATATATATATATATATTATCTTCATTATTAAAATGTTTTTCAGGACAATATTTTAACATATTTTTTATTAAATATGCAAATAGGATGTCCTAGAATAAAGTCACGAAATTCCAGTAGTATATTAAAAAAAGTCATTTGAACATGTAGTGGGAAACACTCCACTTATTACAGAACACTGAAGATCACTAGCAAGAGGTCACCAAGTATGTGGTAAGCCTCAGCATCTCTTTCAGTAGCTTGCATGTTTAAGCAGTCCACAATGCATTATTTGGGGAAAATAGTTATCCTTTGCATCTACTTGTCATTGATATTCAGTGACTTGAAACTCGTAAATTGCGATTTTCCCATCGTATATTCCTTTCCTCTTAAATATCTATAGGATATTTTTTCCATATTTTCAAGACTTATAATATGTAAGCTATGCATTTCCTGCCATGCATTCTTAGGACACTTTATGTTTATCTTTGGTCATTGCTGGTAATTGATGACTTTCTTCTGGGACACCCTAGATAACATTTTATTGATATTGTTTCTAGAAGTAATTACTCTACTCGAAATATTTTAAGAAATTTCAAACACTGTTTTTTTAAATATTTCACTTCAACAATGTAGTTAATCTCAATTGTTTTGCTGAACTTATTTTTTTTTTTACATTATCTACTCGGAGATAATTTTCATGTATTTTTTGACCACGTAATTATAGTGTACTTACTTTCACTGGCATTTTGTACAGCTACATTTTTCTTTATTAATGATTTTCCACTGACTCATTTCATTTTCGAACATTGTATTATATTTTATAATTGTTGAGTATTCATTAACTAATCAGATTTTAGTTGCACAGTGTTATCATTCTTTTTCCAGTTTGGGAAATATATAAATAAAAGATTCAGTTGTTATTGGTTATATAAAGTAAAATGTATGGTAAAAAATAGTGAGTTGAAAATGGTGATATTGAACTTAAATCTTAGTTGTGCTTCCTTAAAACTTAACATTATCGTGTGGAAGTTATGGATTATTGGGGAGAGGAGGAAAAATAATGTTATACTTGATAATGTTTTGTTTTGTAAGAAAAGACTAGAAGAAAGTTACTGCTGTACTCTTTCATATGAAAAATATTAAAATGTAAATATTGTAATAGGTATAAAATGTCAATGAACCATACTTGTGAATTATTGTGCCACCAGCAGCTGCACAGTGAAAGTCACTGAATACTGATAATTTGACCTGCATTTCATTCCAGGCGAGAAGGTTAGCTATGTCCCATGTGTAATGTGAATACAAGCCAGTTTCGCTTAGAAAGTTCTCCAATGGCATTTCTATCTTTAGGCAGACAGCCATTGAGTGCTTTGCCATAATCAGTATACTATCTTATGAATTATAAAAGATGTATGTGATATTTGATGTTATGTGTAACATCTAAGTTATACTGTCTACTATAATAGTTTATATTAATTAAGTTCCTGAACATGTTATACAAATATTCCATAATTTTTATTGCCCATCTCTTATAATATCTGAAAGTTTGAAAAGTTTTTATAAACAAAAATTATATAATTTTAATAAAATTTCCTCAGTTTGGATGTAAATTTATAGGAAATTAATTCTGATCTGCTGAAAAATTTTTTCCTATTATTTGAAGAAAACAGTGAGTTAAAGGAGGTGTAAAATGAAGAAACTGTATAGCAATTATGTATATATATTTGCATTATTTATGCTAAAGATTTACCAAAAGTTTTAAATTACTAAGAAATTAGTTTTGCTGCATTTGCATTAATATGGTAGTCTTTTGACATGCATTTGTTTTATGTCTCCATTCTTATTTGCTATAATGGTAATTCTATTCTAAGTGTATTTATATATAGGAAATTTTCTTATTTTGCATGTTATTTGATATGAAATAAATACTGTGTATTTAAATAATAGTGCAAAATAAAAGCTATTTATTTAAGTTTTGTGTGAATTTTTTAATGAAAGTTATGTATTCCATTTCAATCTGATTTTTTTAGACTTCTTGCTGCAAAATGGTCTGTGGAAATATTAGAGAATGTACAGCGACATCTTGTTCGTTTAATTTTGAACACATGTTTTGAAGATCTCTTAAATGCTACCTTAAATGCAGGTAAATTTTAATGTTTTTTTATCATTCCATTTTACATAATTATTTATACTCTCATGTAATTTGAGTTATAAATGTTTATAAAGTAAAATTTCAATCATATTAGTATGTTTCGTATGTCAGTTAAGGGAAAAATGAATTCTAAAATCAGGTATTCTGGGAAATAAGATTACAGTGGAAATTATGGATTCAGTTCTTGTGTTTTAAAGAAAATATTACCTGTGTAATGTATTACACTGAATTGTATATACATATTTCCTTTTAGGTGATAAAGTACAAAAGCAAGCATTTTGGCTAGGTAATTTCTTAATGATTGTAATAAATGACATTTAAAAAAAGATGAGAATATTTTGAGTTAGTAGATGCTGCACTTAGTAGAAGTTGTTGCGTTAGCTACCCGACTCTTGTTGTCCATATCGCATTAAATATGCTCACGACATAATCAAACTTTAAACACAACAAAATTTAATCTTTTATTTCAGGACCTGATATGCATTCCATCCCTCAACAGCTGGTCTGTATTCACACTCCTTATTGCTATCACCACAACTTGCATATTATCTCATTAACCATGAACTTTAGCTACCATCAAACTGATGGCTCTGTACTTAATAAACAATCAGTATTCAACACCCTTTGTTGTTGTTTTTTTGCGCTTTACAAAAAAGGCTTTTGTTGAATTGTACTATTTTATCAGGTTCTCTCATTTTACCAGAAGCTATGTTTAGAATGCTATGAACGTAAACTTCCTGCATGTAATTGTTCTACTCAATGTTTTGTTGGCTATATTCAGCTGATCCTATCGTGGTCATTATAGACACTTTTTTAAAATTCCAAAACTTCTAAATTAATCCATTGCTTGCTTCTATTGAATGTATGTCCCAAATTTTATTAATTTGTTTTCAGAATGTGGAAAAAAAAATAGAACAATAACAATTTATATCCTTGTTAATAAAGGTGAAGGGTTTTTTGGAGAATGATGGTGACATCAAACAAAAGCACAGGTATTACAAGTGTGTTTTTATGTCTCATGTATCTATAACTGCTACTAAATTGCACTACTTGGGAACAGTTTTATAATTGACAGGATAATACATAAGTACCAGAGATTAGTGGTTAAAAGCACTAGAGTGTGAAATTTTTGTTTTTTTTTTTTAATTTTCATTTTTCTCAATAAATTAATGTACATCTGTCCCTTGATTTACACTGTACTCATTTTACATAATTTCGGTTTTACTTAGTTTACAAATTAACGGATTTCTAAAACTTGATAAAAATGTATATTCATCTGAATATACCCAAATACATATATTTGAAGACATTTTTTAATCTCATTCCTTTGATAACACTGGTGGCAAGAACAAGTTTGGGAATTCCCTGTGTTGTAAAAGGGGAATCCCTGTAGTATATATATGTATTTTACAACAGTGAAGCTATTTGGTTCATGTGAACTAGTGCAGTATCAGTATTTTAGCAGCAAAGCTTACATAATTTTTATCTACGTACTTGAATGCTTACTGGTAAGTTTTCAATATTTATATTTTTCTGGCATTTTTATAATTTACGTAAATGTTTTAAGTTTTTATAATGCCAAAAGATTTGAAAAAAATCAAATAATAAGAAGAGTTATTTCTTTAGGAAAAAAAAAAAATTGAAATATTAGATCGTGTACTTAATAGAGAAAGAATAATAGATGTTGGTAAATTTTACTCCATGAATATCACCATAAAGACAATTAGTAAAAATGAAGACTCTATTAGAAAAAGTGTAGCAGCTGGAACTTGCAGCAGTAAGAGCACTATTTCATATGCAAGAGATGATACAACGGAAAATATGGAAAAGGCATGTGATAGGGATAGAAGACCAAAATCAAAAACGAACTCCAGTTGATACTAATGCTGTTACAAATAAGGTTTTAAATATTTATAAAGCACTTAAAAATCAGTCATCATCTACTTTATCAGATGAAAAAAATCTGATGTGTACACCACATGACTTTCTTGTATGGAATATTAAATTTCTTGCATTTCATTTAAACTCATTAGATTGAATTAAACCTACTTCGCCGACAACGCATAAACCACAATAGAATAAATGCCATTCTTTAAAATTCACTTTGTTTACCATAGCGACACTCTGGCGCTAGGTTTACTTAACAGTGTTATGTTTCGTTCATATTATAACTCAGAATGCACAAAATTTATATCATTTAAAGAATTATCTAATCTTTGCCACATGTTCTATTCAAATACTATAATAAAGCTAGAACTGTGTATAAAAGAAATTAAGCAAACAAAACAAAAAAGAAACAGTTTTTCACAGACGATTGAGTATTTCTCATTCAATTAATTCAGTTTTCACTTCGCGACAAGGCAAAAATACATAAAAACTCAAAATATCTGTATTAATTACGAAGTAAATCTTAAACGCTTATTTCCTCGAAAAAATTCCAGAAAGGATTAAGCATGATTTAAATAATAAATGAAGGTGTTGTCTTTGTTGTTGCGAAGCTAAGTTTCTCTAGATTGGCAACAAATCCACTACTCAGCTGTTTCAAATGTAAACAAGATTTGGCAATGGCTATGGCCATCAAATTAGGCTTAGCAGCACTTAAACAACTTTTAAATTGTTGATAATTCTAAAAATATTGCATACGGATTTACTGAAGGCATAAAACCCTTAACCGGAAGATAAAAACAACATAATTCAATAATTTATAAAGCAAAAAATGTGCAATTTACAAACATATAAGAGTAAAGAAACTGAGATCACTGAGCCGGGTAACAGAGTGGATATAAATATATTTATATACGTTTGGCGTGGTCAATTGAAACCAAAATACAAGGTGCACATCTACATGTTATAGTAGTCTTATATACAAAATTTCAACGTTCTGAGGCTACTCGTTTTTGAGTTATGCGAGATACGTACATACATACAGACGCCACGAAAAATTCTCTTCAGAATTCATTTTTAAAGCAGTTTTTTAATTTTTTTGGAGGAAAAGAGTCCATTATTCTGTCCTTACATACAGATATCACGCAAAAACATCGTTAAATTGCATTCGAAAGCTGTCAAAGTGGATATTTTCGTTGAAATATCCTGCCTGAAGCTTTTCGTGATTACAATACTTCCTCTTTACTTCGTACAAGGAAGTAAAAAGATACCTTTTTCCTGTGATGACATTGATTAAACTTATAATAATTTTTTTGAATGATGGTATATTTTCCTAATGTAAAATAAATTAAATATGTACTTCTCTTATCTACATATATTTGTTATTTTCCGAATGAAGTATAACTTTATTTATTTTAAGATGTCTTTTGCTTTAGGTAAATAAATAACTAAATTATGCACATTTAGTTTGTTTTTCGTTTTCACGTAGCAAAATCCAAGATTTTAATTTACACGGTATTGTGCGGAACCCATCTTCCGTGTAAATCGAGGGATAGCTGTATTTGTATTCCATGAAATAAATTATATAAAACTTTTATTCATTAGACTTAAGGCAATTCATGCACTAAGTTTTGTTTATATTCAGAATTAGAAAAAAGAATTTATCATGTATTATGAAAGACAAAATTTTTAAAACATCCTCTTCTTTGTCATATATAAAAACATTTAGTGATCAAGAATCCTTTTTAGCTAATAATAATACTTCCAGATCTCTGTTTTATTGAAGAATATATGACATTTATGTTTTTTGAGAATTTAAAATTTCAATAAGGTTTTTATTTAGTAGGTTTTTCAGAAAAGGTGTTATGAGATCTTTAGTACTTTTATAAGCATTTAAAAAAACTGTCTATTATTCTATACTCATTGTTTAATTATGAATTTTTCTTATTATAATGCATTTAGGCTTTTCATATGATCCTAGTGTTTGTAAAATTGCTTGTAAGGGTCTTCATATCTTCCTAAAGTCAACTTCATCAGTGCTTCCAGAAACTACTCTGCAAAGGTTAGCTTTTAATTCAGATGCATATAATATGTATAATAAATACTGTTCATTGTGCTGAGTATTAATTTTTGCAAAATTATTGATAATACACATTTTCCAGGTGTTATGACTTATGTATATTAAAGTTAAGTAGTCATGATATTGAGGTACAGGAACAGTTTGCCTATCTTCTGTCTCTCCTGCCTTTGGATATAGTTCTAATGTATGTATTTCATTTATATTAGATCTCTTTCATCTTGTAATTTATTTATTTTTTATTTATTAAAATTTTTGTAAAATTTGAGCTGTGGGGCTGTCAGTTAGTGCAGAATATTTTCTGATTTATATAATATTTTAGTATGTGAATCATTTCTAAAATTAAATTCATTTGAAAAGATCTAAATTTTCATGTAGAAATGAACGTAAATATCTTTTAACAGGGGTAGTACAGCTAATGTTTTCAAAGGTGGAAGTACTCATAGTGCAGCTAAAGATGTGGATTCTTCATTGAAGTTGTATATGTCTGTCCATGATGTATGGTCTGTATATAGAGGTTACATGGGACGGTCATGTCCTGGCAACTTCTTTAGCCATCATTTTCGTACAATCACAAATTATGTTTTGCAAGGAAAAGAACCACAGTAAGTGCATTAATTTCTTTCCAAATAGTCATATTGGGGGGGGAATTGTGATTCCCCCCTTTTTTAAGTCCAAAGGGCCTTTGTCCCTGAGGGGCTATTGTTTTCGTTTTGCGATCTTGCGTCAAATGACTCTGAATGCTCGTTTCACTTTTCAAACTGTTCCCACCAAATATTATCACCCTGTATTATATTTGAAGAAATTAAATAATGAAGAATCTGCATAAATGTACATGTTTCTCGCATTGTGACAAAACAACGGTACCTTGAGCCATCAAATTTTGAATAACGTATTCCTACTGCGAATCTGAGCATCTGGAAGCCCAAATTTGGAATTTGTTTTATTACCGATTTTATACTTTGCAAAACTTTAAGGAATTTTTGATTAACAAACTCAAGGATTTTAAAGTGAGCAAAGGCAACATTGTATAGAAAAAAACATATCTCCAGCGCGTGAAAGGTTGTATCAGAAATTCTAAAGATATGCTCAGTTTAAAATTATTTTGCGATATTGCTCTTGAACTGAATTTTATGGTTTAACTGTGAAGAACATGCTATTTAATAAACAAAGGTAATGCACAAAATGTTTAAAAAACGCTCCTTTGGACGCAATTTAAAATCTCAAACTTTTCAGATTTTTTTTTTTTTTCTTTTAAAGATATATTCGTTTACAAAATGTTTGGAGCTTTGAAAGTTGGAATTGCAAAATACGCCAATTGTTAAATTTATGATTCATAGTAGACAGTATGTGATTATACAGGGAATTTATTTTCAAAATAACAGCTCACTTTTGAATAATTCAAGTATGATATAACAAATAAAGTTATGGTGAAATGTATTGTTTAGTAAATATCTGTATTTCTGTTAAATTTGAAATTTGCAAGTTGGTACAATTGATTTGCAATTAGCTGAAATCATATACTGATTTTCTGTGGAAGAAGTAATTAGTAAATAATATCTGAGCATCTCGCTATTATTTACGCCAAGAATAAAGGAATAACAATTGATTTGCAATTAGCTGAAATCATATACTGATTTTCTGTGGAAGAAGTAATTAGTAAATAATATCTGAGCATCTCGCTATTATTTACGCCAAGAATAAAGGAATAAGTTCACTGCGCACTGAACATTTGATGGGATTCGTTTATTTTATTAACCTTTTACGAACAAAAAAGAAGTTCTGCTTTATCCAATTGTGTGCATAATTTGTGACATTTAAGTGGCAGTCACTTACAACTGGTGTATTATGAAGTATTTTATATCATTTTACATAAAACATAGAATGAATTTAAAGTTATATATTGCCCACCAGCAGCCGAGCGGTAATGTCACTGAATACTGGTAGTTTGGTCCGTGGTTCGAATCCCGCGAATGGTCTGGCTGCATGGGCGTTTTCATGGTTTTCCCCGTGTGTAACGTGTATACAGCCAGTTTCCCTTAAAAAGTCCTCCACGACGGCATCCCTCCCTTAAGGCAAATAGCCCTCGAGTGCTTTGCTGTAATCTAATAAACCAAACCAAAATAAAGTTATATGTTAGCTAGCAGTGCATATTAAAAGATGCTCATTAGCCATCTAACTGGTGAATCGCACAATATCGTATGGAATTTTACGTAAAACATATAAAATAGAATGAGGTATTAGATGTATATTAGCTAGCAGTATATTTTAAGATGTCTTTCTACTTCTTATTTTGAGATCTGAGCAACTATTGTTTAGTATGAGCAGCATATAAAGAATGATAATTGTTTTTTCATTTAATAATGTATTGTGGAAAGTTATTCACTGTTTATGCACTTTCTTGAAATTTGTTGTTGCCAGTTCCCCCCCTCCTAAACATAATGTTTTTATTCTATAAATCTCTCTAGGTGGTTCTTGATTGCATGGCATGGGACAGTAAACATTGCTACATTCAAGAAATCATATATGAGAATTTTGTCTAAGATGGTTATCGATGAAAAACTGGAACTTTTTAATTGATGTTAATACCTTTCATATACTCATTTTATTATTTCACAGACTGCTAGTAGGTAGAGAGCTTATCTGATTATTTGCACCCCTTCTAACTGGAAAAATGATTAACTGGTTACCTACTTTGGCAAGCATTCACAAACTCACTGGTGGTTAATTTTTTCCCCAAGCTGTACTGCAAAAGGCAATATCTATTTTCAAAATAGTAAGAATTTTATATAAGAGCAATCAATCAATAAAATTGAAAAAAAGCAAGCAGCATCGATAATAAAACGCTTATCTTTTTTGATAAATTCTTAATTTTAGTGCTGTTATTCTCTCTATCTGTACAGCAACAATTTTGACCTTAAAAAGTTAAAAAATTGCACAAACTCAATATCCTATGATATCTGCATTTGCACAGCATCCAAACAAAATGTGTTTTTGGTGACATGGTGGGTTGCCACATGCTATTGACAGCATTTCTGCCTTTCCTCATCAATAATTTTTCATGACTTTTTGGTGGAAGGGGGAACAGATAATGAGAAAGTATTAGAAGTGTGCAAATCAAACTTCAAAAAGTATATTTACTTAATTGTATATTATTATTATAACTGACTTCATTTATCTTATAAATTTTTTTTTGCCTTCCTTTTTTTGCAGTGAAAAGAAATGGTTGCTTAAGTTGTTTCATAGCTGTCCTCCTCCTGAGCGTCATAGCAGAATTGATTTTTTAATGAGTTATCTAGCGAATAATTCGTTAGCAGTTCTGTGGTTTTGGGCTGTATGGGAAGTAGCACAATCATGTGTTATTTCAAAATTGCGTACACCATTAGGAAAACCCCAGGAAACATTTATGGCTATAGAAGGTGTGTAGTTATTTCAAGAGTTATTACTTTAATATTTAATTTTGTAATATAGTTTTTTTCCAACTTTAATCTGTTCTCAGAATTTTTCATTTTACAGTACGTGTTGGTTTTCAAAAGTACTTTTTACATCGTTTGCTGTTCTGTTTTTTAATGATGTAGTATTTATGTAAAATCTGTAAATGTTGAAAATAAACAGTAAAACATTAATTTTTAAAGATCTAAATAACTATAAGTAGAACACCTCAAGAATGGCTATAGAAAATGTTGCTGTGTAGAGAATGTAGGCAATTATAGGATAAATTAACTGCTAAGACTTAAATTTTAGTATTAGAACTATTTATGGTCTTGTCTTTTCATTTTGTGTGTACGTATGTATGTGGACATTGCATTGTGTAACCTGCTAAAGTGTTAATTAAGCACCAGTACAACAAATTGTCATATTTTGTAACTGCTGCCAGTCTATGAAAGTACTTTGTCTATGGTGAGGTCTAAAAACAATACTTATTTTGGTACTTTTCCGTTTTGCCGGCGCAAGCGATAAAGTCGCCAATAATGGTACAACTGATGCCAAACGGAATGTCCTCGCTGGTAACCTTTTACACCTCATTTTCAAAACAAGTCACAGCCATTTCTTATCAGATTGATTGTTTCTTTCACTACTGGCATACAATTACAGAGAATTTTTACCAGATAGTTCAATTTTATGCTCTAAGGCCATTCGCGGTAATTAAATCAATTAGGATGCACTCACACTGCTCACCCGAAGCTGAAAATATAGAAAAGGCAAAGTCAAGGGCTAAATTCATTAATTCTAAGGAGAGTGCACTAGCGAAGTTAAGCACTGCGGTTTTACATAATTTCTGAATAAGCTATTCGTACGAATTGAAATAATTCTTTCATTTATACTTGTTTTCCAAATTAAGATTCAACTTAAAATTGATGCAGATAATTACTGAAAGAATTAGATTATTAATTTTTGTAGCATAGTTTACGGGAGGTGAGATCACTTGGGGTCACGTGATATAAACCGATGAATCAGGATATTGAACCTTAAAAGCATAGTAAATTCTTAAATTAATGTCTTTATACAAATGTATTGACTTTGTTTATTGGCTTTTTACAAAATTTTATAAGGTTTTAAAATGTTTATGCCTTTAAAATAAAAAATTCTTAACCCCTTCGAGCCGGGTAGCGAAAACGCGCGCTTATCGCGGAGGCCGGCAGTGTCTTCCGCGAGCGTCTCACCAGGACCGGGGACTTTTTTGCTACTAAGTCTAAATCCATGAAATTTTCGAAGTATCAACGCATTGTTTAATAATGCTCTATAGAGTATTTAAACGGCTTATGCTTTATAGATATTTATATATATATATACTTTAATTACCTTATTTCTTGTTTAAATGCATATTTTACACATTTTTATGACTTTTAACATTATACATCTGAAAACTAAATATATTACTTAAAATTCTCTTTTCGTATGAAAAATTTGAAAACAGGGATCTACACACAGTCCTATGTTACATTCCTTGCACTCGTAATAACTCATTTGCCGTTTTGGAGGATTTTTCCGGGAATGTGAACAAACGAAGCATCGTTGTCTCATTTTCTTATCAGTCTCTTCTGAACAAAGTTTTAGAAAATGTCTTTCAGTTAATCTTTCAGAATCAATATCAGAATATCAGAATTTCAGAATCAATATCTGAAATATTTTGCATCATTTCTGCTATTTCATGCTCTGTTAAACATTTTCGACGCTTCGACATTGAAACGGTAAAAACAGAAAGAATTCACGTCTAACAAGATCTAATTATTTTCTAAAAACTGAACTATGAACCGAAATACTCAACGCTTTAGAGCATATAAAACTTCTCTACTTACAATAAACAACTACCACGTGCGAATAAAGTGCGATTTAAAGAGACGTCATAAATCATGCCATTCGGAAACATTTAGTTCCCCGTTTGTTTATATAATCAAAAACATGTGTATGTGAGTCATGCTTCTCTCATTTCGAGTAGAAGGTCTAATGTACATGTATATGAAACCATATGGACATACAGTGCCATCTTGTGGCAGAAATTATAGTTTGAAAAACGTTCCAGGGTACTGGCACGAATACGTGACAGTCAGTAGTAAACGCAAAAACGCTCTGGCACGCCTGCATGTCGGCTGGTAGGTAAGTGTGTTCGTTGTTGGCACGTATATGTGACAGTCGGCACGAAGGGGTTAAGAACTAACATTTGTTAACATTTTTTATGTATATACTGTATGTTGTCGCCAAAAGTCTGCTTGGTGAAATTTGCGCCAACAAAATGGAAAAGTACCCTTATTTCTTAATAAAATTAATTTTTATCTTACTTTTTGTTTAGTATTGAAACCCCTTCCCCAACAAAACGTCCTAGTGTCTTGTATTTTGTATATGATTGCAGAATGGGAATTCAGAATTTAATGAAATTTTAGTAAATATATTGAATGCAATTACTTCATTATATTTATTTTTGATGTGTTGCTTTCATAGGGGCTTTAAAAAGTGCTGCCAAGTTTTCTAAGAATAAAGAGGATAATTTTTCTAGTAAGTAGTTCTTTTAGCTTCAGTATTTTCTTCTGTTTATAAATTAGCATTATAAAAATGTTAATAAAATTAATGAAATAAAAATTAAATTTCAAATTATTGTAACCAAACTTTTCTGCACTACATTCAGTATATTTCTACTATTAGCTCTTTTCACTGGCTTCTTTGCATACTGTTATCATATAGTCTTCTTATCCATATGTTTTGAAGCAGTGTAATTTTTTTATTATCTATTGTTTTATTCAAAATTTAGATTGAATTATACATTTCCCTCATCTGCTATAGGGCAGTAACATTCTAATTTTGTAGTTAATACTGTGTGTTGTTTAATAGTAGTAAGCTCTACTGTTTATTAATATTTTTGTCTTTTAAAGTTAATACTTAATTTCCATACCATTTTGATGTCATATTTATATATTTTTAATTATTTAGGTGAATCAAAACATTTGACTCTTCTGAGAGTTAATTTATTGCTTTCTCTTATGGAGCATTTAGAAAAGCTAATGTATAATGCTTATGAAGGTTGTGCAGCTGCTTTGCCATCACCTCCAAAAGTGAGTGTTTGTCTTACTCAGCTGTCATTAAATATATATTTGTATACTGTACATATTTTTGTGTATTGTCATTAAATATATATTTGTATACAGGTATGTATGCACATTTACATTAAAAATATCTATTGAAATTATTTTTAAGATAATTTTTAATGTAATTTTATGAACATGTATTAGTTGTCGAATTAGTTGTCTCAAAGCATCATTTTGTTGTTTTGCAGAATGTTCGAACATTTTTTAGGACTAACAAATCAACTTGCCATGAATGGCTTAGTCGTATTAGATCTACAGCAGTAGTAGTTGCTGTGAATGCAGGAAATCCTGCTGCTGCTGTCCGCCATGGATTTGAACTGCTCCAAGAAATAAAGAATAGTGGAAATTCGCAGGTTTGAAAAACTACTTTTCCAAGATTAAATAGGATTTATTAATTATTGTGATTAAATGCCAGATTATTTACATATTTATAGTGCAAAATCTGCGATCTGGAATTGTTAGGACTTCAATGATTCCGAATTTTAGATCATCATTTTAAATCCAGTAAGATAATGTTTAGACGTAACAGAATTGGGGCTTCACTTACTATTTCATTAGAAAATTGCACAACCATTTGGGTCGCAAATGTGATCTTGGTAAACATCAATCAGTGTGTTGTTATTGCTATGTGTGACTTCCCATTTAGTAGTTTTTTGAAAGTGAGAGGCAAGAATCTCAATTAGTCCATGGTAAAAGTGAATTTCTGGCACACTTGTTTCTTGTCGTTGAGTATTATAGTGTCCATGCCTAGGCATTGGGGACTCACAAAAAGGGCAGGTGCTAATTCATGTAATAAAATTACTGCTAATGTTGTATTTGATTTCAAATTCTTAAAATCTCCTTGTTGCAAACTGCAAAAAATGTTTGCATTTTTTGATTGATGTCGTAAATTTCCCACACGTTTGTAACAAATAAATTGCTTATATCCTTCCCAGATTAATATACGTATTTTCAGCATTAAATTTTAGCTCATTTATATTTCAAGCCTATAATAATATCAAGCATTTCAAATAAATATTAAGATTATAAAACTTTCACCTGCTTGAAATGTAAACAGTTGGGCAAAGCAGCTTGAGATCGCAGTCTAATCTGACAGCATATGTATTGAACTAACAGTATAACAGTATTGAACTAACAGTATCATTGGAATTTTTATTTGTTAAATCAGCATCCATTAAATTTGCTGTATTATATTTTAGATGGAATTGAAAATCATATGTAAATGCGCTGCATTCATTTTAAAACAGGTACAAAACAAAATCATTATTTGAGTCATGTATTTCCATTATTAGACTTTATTATTCAGTTCTGTCTGTAGACAGTGTAGGGTGAGACATTCTCTTCTGCTCTGTACGTTGTTGTGGTTACCAATCTCAGTTGTCTGACAAAGGTCAGCACAAAACCAGGACATTCATCATGGCAAGGAGTCGTGTGCACCTGTCGTCGCCAAGAGCCTTCAGCATCAGCCCAGCTTTAGCTCAGTTTCACTCCTAATTTTGAGACAGAGAATCCTGGGGGATAGGTTTGAGGGTCTCATATCCCCTCTTCCCTTACCATCAACCTCTTGAGAGGACTTTTGGCTTGCCACACATTTAGAGTGCTTCCATGCAACGCAGACATTTACAAACATCCATGCCATCTCCAGGATTCGAACCTGGACAATTGTGTACAGCAGTTAAAGTCACTAACCACTATCTCAGTTGGGCAATGCTTTCTACTCTTTAAAACAACTCTAACAATGCACCAAACCAAACAATAAAGTCAAGTAATAGAAATACCACGCTCGAATAATAATTTTGTTCAGTACCTGTTTTAAAATGAAACACATTGTATTTATCAACTAGTGAAATATAAAGTATTTGCACATTTAAAAACTAAAATGAATATAATGGATTATAATTTATATTACTGTTAAAAATATATATATATATCTATGGAATTTTAATAGTTCTGTGCGCTTTGCAAGGGGAAAAGAATACTGAAGTAATTTCAGTGGATTTCTTGTTTCCACGATCAGGTAGAAATCTGAAATTTGTAATTGCTATTGATGAATGTACAATTTACATTTCATATAAATTGTGTCAAAATCCTAGTGCTTAGCATTTTGGAATTCTCCATTTATTTATCTCTATGCTTTTAGCTTGTGAAACTTGTGTACTGCAGAAAGGCATCTGCTAACTTTTTAAAAACTTTGATTCTTTAATTATTTAAATTTTAATAATCAGTAGAAATATTAATTCACTAATTTTTTCATCTTGTTATCAAAATTGTATTGAAACTTAAAATTTGAATTCAAATTATTACAACTGGCAGAGTAAAAGTGTTGCCTACCTTTTCATAGGGATATTTATCAATATTAGCTATTTAATTGTCCTATGATGTTGAACAGCTTACTGTCAAAAGCCAAATGTATTAGTATTAAATCTTGGTAATAAGTTTATGCATCTGTAATTTTTTAATCAGTGTCACTTCTGTTGTTCGTATTTTTCTGATATTATCTATAGCAGTGATTGCCAAACCGTCGATCGATCGCGAGCTACTAGTAGCTTCCAGGGACATTTTTGGTAGATCGCGTAAGGTTAGCTAATCTTGATTCATCCTCCGAGTTGACACCGACGATAACTGCTTATTTCTCCCGTTGTCACCTATCTCATTGTCAGCCTCATCTTATAGTTGATTGTATACCCACCCTACCATTGTCAGCCGTATCTCATAGTTGACTATATATTCCTGAAGTAGTGCACATTGTTTTTTTTTTTTTTTTGTACATTTGCTAACTTGCATAGTTTCATTTATGCATTGGTACCAAGCTAGGTCTGTTCTAACCAAAGAGTGTTGAAGCAAAAAGCGAGAAACTTATCGCTTTCGTTCCGAATGGGACACCGATTACTTCTTAACTGAGGTAAAGAGCTAGTTTTGGTCCAGGATTGTTTCGAAGTGAAGGCAGTATTTGGATGTACATATCTGTGTGAGATTTCTTTTTTCAATATGAAATTTATTAAAAATAAGTACAGAAACAGACTCGCTGATGAACACTTGGACAACTGTATTCGAATGGCAGCTACTACCTACTCTCCCAACACTAAAAAACTTGTTGATGAGAAAAAAGAGTTCCATCCTTCTGATTAAAGTTAATGAGTATGATTTAAAAAAAAAACTGTCATTACATTTGTTATTTATTAGTAACTACATTTTTTTTTCTTAGTGCGATTCCATTTCAGTTTCTTTTTGTGATATACAGTTTAATTAAAATTGATTTCGTATTTACTAGAAATGTAAGTTCATAGGCAATAAACAAATGTAACTTTTTTTTTTATTTTTTTTAAATTTTTTTTTTAAATTCTAGTAGTTCTTTTGGTTGGTACCTCTCAGTAGGATTTAAAAATGTCAGAGTAGCTCAGAAGCTTCATAAGTTTGCTGACCACTGATCTGTAGTAATGAGTGAAAACAATTTTAATTCTTAATTTCTTAAAACTAAATATAACATGCTTGTTATTATTTAGGTACCAGAATTTGAAAATACTCTGTATGCTGTTGTTAAAGCTCTTATTCAAATGCATTGTCCTGAAGCAGTTTTGGGCTTATATGTATGGTGCAAGGAATCATTTAACCGTAAATTAACGTGGATTAAAGCTTCGGTTGACTGTGCTGCAGGAAGGTATAAGATTTTAAAATATTAAAATCTTCATTCTGTTTATTAATCATATAATCTTCCTGTTATATTATTTTAAAGCATTAAAAATCTATATTGTATTTATTCATTATTATTATATTAAAGAGAATTTATAAATGTTAATTTTATTAATCCTTGTGGAATGTGGAAAAATTAATATATAAATGTCCTTTTGCAATATATCTCATGTCTTTATACTTGAGAATTGCTTTTATCACTTATGTTTGGTTATTCCTGAAAGAACGAAAAATAAAAAATAATGCAGAGAAAACAACACGATGAAAACATCGGTGTAAAAAAAGAAAGCATTGAGCAAATACTGTTGTCCTAAATGTTACTTTAAAAAACATTTTGGTAGAAAATAAAGCAGAGATAAAATTTTGTAGCTTAAAAAGATCACAGGGGGAAGAAAAAAAAAAAAAATTAGTGGTGGTGTGTGACATTATATAATTAGATAATCTTTTTACATATATGTAATAGGCTCACTAGTAATCTAATTACAGCAAAATAGTTTATAAATACTAAGAAATAACTAAAAATATTTGCAATGAAATATTTCTAAAGTACTTGGTAAAATACTGAAATAATTTAAACATAAATAATTTTAAATTTCTAGAAATAATTTAAAATTTTAATCTTTCCATATATATAATGTAAACCGGAATCCGTTTTATGTACTTTAAAGCCAATCTGATAATAAATGATCAGTTGCATGAAAAACTTGAAAGTACATTTCTGTGGTGTTTTGTACAAAGATGGATGCCCCGCCCCCTAAAAAAAGGTTACAAGGGTAATAAATTATTTATTAATAAAAGGGAGGAAATACAAAAGGGAATTAAGAGGCATACTTGCCTATCATCTGTCCACATAATCACCAAATCTATTTAGGCATTTATCTGAATGAAGGACTAACTTGTTTAATCCAGGTTGGTAAAAATGACATCCCTGTCCATTAAGCCATGTTTTGGTAGCTGTTGTCACATCACTATCTGAAGTGAACTTCATTATAGATAAATGTTCCTTCAGTTTCGGAAAAAGGAAATAGTCGTTGGGTGCCAAATCTGGGCTATATGGGGGTGACTCCAGATTTCGCACTTATCTAACTTTTCCAGCAATTATTGATTTTCGCAAGTAGTATGAGGCCGGACATTCTCATGCAGGAGGATGAAACCATCACTCAACATGCCAGGGTGCTTGTGCTGGATGGCTTCACGTAACTTTGTCAGTGGCACAGTAACAGTATGGCCACGCTTTAGATACTCTGTCAGGATAACACCACATGAATGCCAGAATATGGTTGCCATAACTTTACTGGCAGACAATGTAACCTTAAACATCTTTTTTGGTGGTGATCCAGCATGTTTTCACTCCATAGTGGCTATTTTGGGTGTGGAGACAAAAGGATGAAGCCCGATTTCGTCCTCAGTAGCGATGTGATGGATGAAGTGCTGCTGTTGGCATTGTAAAAGAAGAAAAATGAAAAAAAGAAAGTGAAGTTTGTGAAGAAACGCGAGACTGACTGTTATTCGTGTGGCTTTGTTCCTCTGATAACGTATGTGCTTCCTCGGATAACATATAATACTACATGTGGTACTCAGCGGGCACAAATCTTGGAATATTGCAACACATTAGAAATGACATGCTGCATGATACCATAGCTGAATCCCAGCTGTGCCACAGTTGTACGCACTGTTGCCCGTGGATCATTTTGAATCATTTCTTCAAGTTGTGCCATGTTGATTTCGTTCATTGAAGAACTTGGACAGCTGCTCGCTGCCGTGTTGAAAATGCTCTCTGCCTGATTGAAAAGAGCTACGTCATTTCGCTACATGTTGTCTGCTTATTGCTTCTTCACCATAAACTTCCACGATTTGACGATGAATTTCAGATGTGGACATGTTCTTTGCCCATAAGAAACAAATCATGGCTCACATCTTCAAGCAAGACCACTGTTCTAAATGTCTTGCCATTTCAGTCGCTTTGACGTGTCAGCGAACTTATTCTAACTACCCATGCAACTACTGCTAGATACCTGGCGCCATCTGTTTACTCTGAGGAAAATTTATTCCTTCTGCAATAATTACTTTTCAAATGCCGATACTTGCAACCTTTTTTTTTTTTTTTTTTTTTTTTGGATCCACCTAAACAAAAGATGTTTTATTTTTACCAGAATGTTTTAAAATTAAGAAATTCCATCACTGTTTTATTTTCTATTTTTTCCATCACTGTTTTTCACCATGATGTTTCAAAAATGCAACATTCTTTCCTTGCTTATATCACAATGTTTTGTATGACATTGATGTCGTACTATATGTACTGATTTCTCCATGACATTTTTGATAGACACCTGTTAGTTCTCAGCAGACATTCTGTTTAGTATTGAGATGCAGCTTAATAGTTTTTAATAAAAATGAAACATATATCTGAACATGTTTTTATTTTCACAGCTAAGTGTTGAAATGTTAATTTCACAAAAAAATGCATGCTTTTGTAGCACAAGCCAAAATAAAAAGGGGTTGAAAAAAAAAAAAAGGAATCTAGTTTAGTGCCTTACAAGTACAGTGGTATTGCGGTCTAATCTTCAAAGTAAAAGCGGAAATTAAAAAAATAAAATACTGTCCATAGTAATCTTATTTCCTTATGTAGATTAGTGCCTATGAAATTTGTGAACTCGGTAATAAACATAAGCAGCAGCATATGATAGGCATAAATGCCACTATGGAAAGGGTTAAATATATCTTGGGAAAAGAGATCTGGTCTTTAACATCATGTGAAAAACTTATTATTTATTATTTCATTTTTCTTGGGCCCTCAGGGGCTCACTTTTTGTGAGTACGTTTGTTGCTATCCTGAGGTACCCGAGGGAAGTAGAGATAGAAACCTCCAAGGCAGACAAATTGAGCAAATGATTGAAGACCATTGCCTTTGTCTTCTTGATAATGGACAGAACATCTACTTCCATGAATCTACAAGGACATTTCACGCTTTAGATCTGGCTCTCTGTTCACCATCTCTCCTGCCCTTTTGTACATTTAGTGTTGGAAATTACCTTTATGATGGTGATCTTTTTTCCCATTTTGGTAATACGAGATGCAGTAAATCCCATATGAAGATCTCCCCGTTTTATGCTTACTAAAGCAGACTGGGAACTCTTCTCGTCTCTCGCAGAGATTACAGAAGAGATGGTAAAATATGTGCCAATCAATGAAGCTGTGAAAGCAGTCACAGCTACTGTCAAGCAGCTACTGTCTCTATTCAACAAAGCTTCTTAGAAAACCATGGTGGAACTGTGAATGTCAAGATACACTGAAACAACATAGAAAAGCTTGGCGAATTTTTCACAAACACCTCACTTTGTAAAACCTTATTACCTTCAAAAAAGCTAAAGCAAATGCAAGAAGAGAGGTGTAAAAGCCAGAGGGATTCATGGATCTCCTATATGTCTGGAATAACAACCTCTACTTCTAGTAAATGAGTATGAGAAAGAGTTAGAAAAGCATGCAGACTGTACAAAGACCACTCACTTTCCTTTCTGGAAAAAGATGAGCGAGTGATCAGCACAACAGAAGAAATTGTGAATGCGATTGGTGAGAATTTTGCTGCCGTTTCTAGTGGCAGCAACTGCCCGCCGGTATTTCTTTCTTTTAAGCAATGTTGTAAAAAAGCTCCCATCTGTGAGCCATATAATAATGAATTTTCCTTGTTTGAGCTAAGTAGAGAATTGATGCAGACACAGAGATCAAGCCCGGGTCTGGGTGGTATCAGTTATAATGTGCTGAAGCATCTGTCCTGTAAGTCATTGGTTGCCCTTCTCACCCTTTTCAATCGAGTGTGGAAGGAGCATTTCTTTCCCAGTGCATGGCAGAGAGCTGTTGTCATCCCCATAGTTAAACCTGGAAAAGACCTGAAAAATCCCTCCAACTACCGACCAATCGCTCTTACAAGTTGCATTTGCAAATTATTTGAAAAAATGGTAAACCACTGCCTAGTCCATTATTTAGAAAAATACAAAGTAATCTCAGCATATCAGTGGTTTCTGTAAAGGTAAGAACAACAATGGATAATATGCTCATTTTGGAAACCTCCATCCAGTAGAGATAGAAACCTCCAAGCCTAAAGCCTGTATCAAAAGGAACCATTTAGTGTCAATATTTTTTATAATAAAAATATATAATAAAAACTTTTATAATAAAAACTTATGACAAGGCATGGAGATATGGCATATATTATGTGATCTTTACTACAGGGGCTTGAGTGGCAACCTGCCAATTTTCATAAGGAATTTCATGAAGGTTTTTCAGGTTTTTTCAGTTGAAGAATTGGCTCAGTGTAATCAGATGTGTTTTGTCAAGAAGAGGGTGTGCCTCAAGGCTGCGTTCTTAGTGTTACTTTTTTTAGCTTAAGAATAAACTCTGTTTTAAAATAACTTCCTCCTTCTATTTCAGGTTCACTATATGTTGATGACTTGCAGATAAGTTGTCAAGGTGTAGATATGAGATACGTGGAGAGACAGCTGCAGATCGCTTTGAATAGGATTCAAAAGTGGTCAAATGGAGAGGGCTTTATATTTTCAAAAGAGAAGACTAGGTGTGCACCTTTGTAACAAGCGAAATATTCATCCTGAGCCTGAGTTTTACTTTCACAGCTCGTTGATTCCAGTTCTCTCTGAAGTAAAATTTTTAGGAGTGGTGTTTGACCATAAGCTTACCTTTCTTCCTCATGTGTTATATTTAAGGAAGAAGTGTTTCAAAATAGTAAATCTATTAAAAGTACTGGGGAACACCTCCTGGGTTGCAGAACATGGCTCTTTACTTTGTATTTATAGATTGCTTGTATGTGGCAGATTAGATTGTGGCTCAATTGCATATGGATCTGCTCAACCTTCTGTTTTAGTGAAACTTAATCCCCATACATCATCAGGCTCTGAGGATCAGTTTGAGAGCTTTCAGAACATCTCCTATCCAGAGCCTATGATAATAGTTGGGAACCGGAGCTTCAACTACGGCATAAGCAATTGTCTCTTTACCAGTATTTCAATATTATGTCACGATCTGATCATTCTCTCCAGGTCTGCAGGCTTGAAGACTGTCACAAACTTTTATTTTCTGTACGACCTCTTAACACTTTACTGACTGATCGCTTATTATTCGGCTTTTTATCACGAAGTAAAAATTTTGTGAACTAGGCAGTGAATCTTCCCAAATTTTGACATGGCTTTAATCAAATATGCTTCAGAGGCAGTAGTTTTATCTTTTGTCATCTGCCTTTAGTTCTTTTGCCAGTGTTTAATAGTGTGATTGAATTAATTTTGATTTAGGTATTAAGTATGAGTTTTTATACATATTTTTAATTAAAATAAATATTATGTTTTTAATGTCTTTTAATGTAGGGTTAATTAAAGTAAATTCCCATTCTTCCGAGTTAAAAATTGTATAAAGTATAAATTCTTAATTTGGAGTAAATCATATCTGGGTTTGTGGATGAAAAATATGCTGAATGTTATGTATTTTTACACAAAGAATAGAATTTATTTTAGCTTAGTTGAATTATATGAGTAATATATGTATATTTTTAAAAATATTTTTTAGGTTTGAAAATGCTGCTCATGAATATTTATGCATTCTGCAATCCTTGTCAGAAAGTATCAGCCCACACAACCGTGGAAAACAATTAGATGAGATGAATAAATTAATGAAAAGTTAAAAAAGGGCACTTCAATAAAAAATGTTGAAAATATTTTAGAAAACAAGCTAAATATGAGTGAAAGTGGCATTAATAAACCTCAAGTAGATATATATTTGCATTCATTTTTGATCAATCAGGTTAGTATTTTAAATATTTGGAATTTTAACAATTTGATGATTGCAATGTAGAATAATCTAATGAACGTGAAAAAATGGAACTTCAAAAAAAATGTTGAAAAAAGATTTTAGGAAAACAAGTAAATATGAGTGAAAGTTTTGAGTAATAAAACTCAAGTAGATAATATTTGATTAATTTTGAGCAATCAGGGTTAGTATTGTAATTGTTTTTTTTTTTTTTTTTTTTTTTTTTTTTTTTTTTTTTTTTTTTTTTTTTTTTTTTTTTTAATTTGCTGTTTTTTTTTTTTTTTTTTTTTTTTTTTTTTTTTTTTTTTTTTTTTTTTTTTGTGTTTTTTTTTTTTTTTTTTTTTTTTTTTTTTTTTTTTTTTTTTTTTTTTTTTTTTTTTTTTTTTTTTTTTATTGTTAGCTGTTCCTCTATTTTATGTTATATTTTTATGTGATTAAAATAATTATTAATTGCAAATGTAGTCACTGACCAGTTGGCTTCATGTTTGAATAGTTAGCTTTTGGACATAATTTTGTTCTCGTTTATTTACTTAAGTGACATTGTGACTAGTGATACCAGCATTTTTATAGCTTGAGTGGAACTTCCATATCTGCTGAGCATTTTTTTTTCCCTTTCATTCTGACAATAATGTTGAAAACATGTTTAAGCTGTATGGAAAAAGTTAATAAACAGTGTATTATGTTTTCAAAATTTGCATATAGTTTTGTGTTTATAAATATTGAATTAAAAAATTTTCATGTGGTTTTATTTTCAGCTATTAGCGTATTATTATTTTTTTGTTTTGTTTTTGGACTTGATCTAATAATTTTCAAATCAAATATCGAAAGTAATTTTATAAAATTTTTTTATTTTTTTTATGTTTCTGAATTTGTCTTTGTTTTTGATGCTGTAATTCTGCAATTTTTTGTGTTACTTACTTTGGCTTGTAGGGATTGCACTGTTAAAGACAGAGGTAACTTTGCTTTCCTAAGATTATTTTTTTTGTTTTCCTAAGATTACTTTTAAATTTTAAACTTAATATGCGACTTAGTAAGTTCAGGAACAGGCTGTTTTATCAGGCTAAATGGGCTATTAGTCTCAAAATGGAATTTTGCATTGAATTGCTATAAACAGCATATCATTTTTCATATTGTTGCCATCAAATATTATCACTGTATTATTTTTAAAGAAATTAAATAATGGAGAATCTGCATGAATGTTTTTCACATTGTGAAAAAAGAGGGTACCTAGGGCCATCAAATTTTGAATAATGTAGTCTTTTGTGTGAACATGAGCATATGAAGCCCGAATTTAAAGTTTAAAGTTTGCTTTATTATCTATTTCATATTTTGTAAAACTTTAATTTTGATTAACAAGCTCAAAGATTTGAAAGCGAGAAATAGCAACTCTGTATGGAATAAGACATTTTATCTCCAGCACATGAAACTATCTATCAAAAATGCTAAAGATATGCTGTTTTTGTATATCTGGAGATTTTTCTGTTGAATTGAATTTTACGTGGCGTAAGTGCGAATATTTTGATATTAAATAAAGTTAACACACAAAACAATATTAAAAAGACAACATTTTTTCCTATCCATATTACTAAGCTGAACACTGATATGATGAATTGAAAAAAGATTTTAAAAAAAATATATGCCAACACTTAACACTGCATTGGGAATTCTAAATTTTGTTTGAATGTTTTGTGATTTTGCTGTTAAATTGGGTATGGCACAAGCGTGAAGAAAATGGTGCCGAATAATGAAGCTAAAAGAGTGAACCTGGTTAGCAGGAGTGAATGCAACAGCAAACTAAATAGACTGTGAGCTCAGCGAGAGCACAAAAATTTTAACAAACCTCTTTGGGCAAACGTTTAAAATCCAAGATTTTTCGGACTTTTATTTATTATTATTATTTTTTTTTTTTTACTTCTTTCATTTCACCAGCCCCTTGACGACAATGCAGTCAATTTAATTTCATATTTCTTTTTTCGTTTTGGCACCTCCCCATTCAGTTTCTTGCAGTTTGTCACTCTGCTTGTGGTGTTTTTGTATATGATTTGTTCTGAATTGAATATGTTATGAATCTTAAATATATATATAAAATTTATATTTCCATTATATATGTATATACAAGAATATAATTTAGAAAAATATGCTTATGTTTTTCATCTCAGTTGAAAGAGTATTTTATACTAAATGGAAGATTTTAAAAAATGTCTGAAAAATTGGATATTTATTTTAGGTTATAGATTGCTATATGAATTTGGGAAACTGGTCAGATGCAGCAAAATGGGCAGAGTTTCTTGAAAAAGTGAAATTTAATCAGAATGGACTCAGTGTCAGTATACCTTGGAGCTGCAATAATGTAACTTATTTGAGGTAAAAGATTTTATGTTTGTTAAATAAATTTATTTGTAAAAGAAATATTATACAAATTTTCAAATAATTCTATCATTTTTTGAAATATAGATTTGCCTTGCTTTAAGAAAATAAAGAATTTCAACAAAGACTTTTGCAATCGGAAATGCCAAAGAAGCAGTTATCATTAATTTATTTGAATAAATGCTTTGAGCATTCTCAGAATTTTTTTTTATTTTTTTTAAGACCTTGTATCATATCAGATTTTTTTGAAGCCAGTAAAATAATAGTAAAAGAAGTTCTGGTTTGATAAATGCATGAGTAACATAAGTAGAATGACAAATGTATGATGTAGTTTCACTTACCAAGACTGAAAAGAGGTGTGGTGGCAGTTTTGAGTGGAGAGTTAAGTTTTAGATGTTTGTAAGAAAGAATGATGATCTATTGATGTCTTATTGTCATTTATAACCATCAACTCACTGTGTCCATGTTTTCTTCACCTGCCTCTCTTTATCTCAAAAATAAAATTTTCTGTGGTGTTGTGAAAAGCTTGAAGTAAGATAGTATGTTATACAAGTTAGCAGACAAGCAATGCCAGTTCTCAGGAAAACTGTTATCTTATGTGCAGAATTCACTCAAATTTTGCAAATGACAAATTTTGCAGTTTTTGCGAAACTTCCAAAAATTTTGTTGATTTGTAAGTTTATCATCAAATCTATTCTTAAAATACACTTTTGGTAAACATTGGTTATCATTTTAATTCATCCTTTGTAATACATCGAAAACAAGCTCTTTCCTTTATGAGAATATGAAATCTTTTGTTTTGCATCACTAAATTTGGAAACTTATCAACATATTTGATGCCTCTAAGATCGGTTTGTCCACAAAAGTTTTGATTACAAGTTTAAAAATTTTATGTTTTTAACTAATGTAATAAATGTTGTCATTAAAATAATGATTAATGTATTAAAATTATTTTTTTAGAAAAGTAAAATGAAGGCATTTTCTTTTGTCATGTTTTAAAATGTCTCTGTTTTCCTGGCAGTTTTTGAATATCTTGATTCTGAAATATAAACATGGTAATAAATGTTATAAAAACACAGTCTTAGAATTACATTGTAGTAGAAAAACTATCTGAATCCGTAAAATTAATTTCCTTTGTCTCATTTTCCATTTTTGTAAATGTTTTCTCTTGTGTGAGTTTTTTTCAAAATATACAGATACAGCTTGGCTTTTTCTCTAATATTCACCTTTCTCTTTTTTTCTGAATTTTTCCAAAAATCTTTGTTTTTTTTACTCTTATGAAGTTTACAGATATGTGCTTGATTGCAAAGAGTGAGACCTTTATGGGCAGTCTGGCAAAAACTGCCTTAAACCTGTGTGCCATATCATAATTAATCTTACTTTTCTGCAGTCATTGCATAAAACAAACTTTTTATAAAAGTTTATATAATATATATAATAGCTTTTATAAAAGATTCTAAATTCAGATTAGAATTCTTATAGTAGCTATATTTCCATAATTTTTTAATTTGTTTGATGTTTTGGTGAATTTTTATAAAATTTGTAAGTAATCATATAGCAAATTTCAGTTTTGCATATATTTATGCTCAAGAGATTTAATTTTTTGTTATTTACCCTAAAAGAAAGTAAAACATTATTAGGATACCAACAGCAAATTGACTAAATATCTTTTTATCATGATGCTCGGAATTTTTCTCGGATATGTTTTATAATAATTTCACTTGTAAGCATTTGTTAATTTTCCAAAATATTGAAAAAATTTTCTTTTTCTAAAGTTTGCTTGTTATAGCTTGTACTAAAGCATATATTTATTGTATATTTTGCACACACAGTGCACTTGTTCTTATTTTCATTTGCATTTTATAGGTGTTTAACATCTTTTGATGAAGTGTCATCAATCGGAACTAAGAAAGATTTGGCTGCATATTTTCATGACTTATCTGTTATATCAGAATCAAATGCAAATTCATCTTGGACTATGGAGGAACAATTTGCTAAAACCCAGCAACTTTTGATGTCAGTTGCTCTTGAACATGAAAATAGCAATAAATCATCTGTACAGTTGTAAGTAAATTTTGATTTCTGTACAAAAGGTGTTTCTACTGTAATTTTTTAAAAATTTTATTTTTTATTCAGAATGTGAAATTAGATGGCTCAAAAATCGAATAGTAAGCCTTTTTTATTAAAATTATTTTTCCTCTGCTGCTTGATTTATTTTATGATAATTTAATTCTTTATGAGAACAATCTAAAATTGAATATTGAATATATTAATATAAAACAGTAGTAAATGAATAATATGGCATTATCATTATTGCTGTTAGACTAGTACTGTTGTATTGTAATTTGATCTGTATGAGTTATAAATTTATCTTTAGCTAAAATTATGTACTGAATTGAATTTTATATAAACGCTTCAAAAGCTATTGTTAATTATTTAAAGTATAATATTTTCTCTGAATATATTTCCATAATTTAATATCAAAAGTAATTTTTCATAAAGTTTTAAATCAAGTAAAGAATTTAAATTTAATTAAACATTGAAAACTTATTAAATACTTTGGTTAGATCTTTTCTCATTACATATTGTGAATTTATATAGGGATGTATTATTCAATAAATTCATTACAGCAATATTATGTTGAAATATTAAATATAAAGATATATTTTTTTAGGAAAAAATTAACTGATGAAATAAATGAAGCAAAAGATGAAGTTTTGAAATTGATAAAGTTATCAGCATTAACTTGGCCTCCTTGTATTGAACCAAAGCATGCTGCACTTTTTATATCTGCATCCACTTTGCAATTTTCAAAGAAGGTAAGTTCTTTTTTCCTTCTCATTTTTTAAAGTAATTTTTATTCTTACAAAAAACATATCTTAAATCTTTCACAGTTATTTTTTAGGACAATAAAGTCAGAGAAATTGGAAATTGAGTGGAAAAGTCAGGGAATTTAAGTATTTTTGTCAAAATCTGAAAAAGTTGGGGAATTTCATTTGGGGATTTCCCTTCCCCCCCCCCAAAAAAAAAATTTTTTTTTAGCACCAACGTTGGAAGCGATCACTTCCTTGGTGAATTCTGTATTGTGTGAGCATCATTCCGGCAGCTGGCATAGAGCCAATTTTTTCAGCGCGAATCAGATTGCCTTTCAGAAAGACAAACCAAGTTTCAAACATCTTTTTTTCCAGTAGCTTCCTGAATATGTTACGATATACTAGATCTGCTCGTGGTGCGTATCATCAAGCACTCGAATGCTAAAAAAACTGTGGGACAGTAAAACATAAATTATTTTTGGACAAAAGAAAAGCACAAGCACAGATTGGAATCAAAAAAAAAAAAAAAAATTAAGCAGAGATTTCTCAATTAAAAATTGCAGGCTTAAAGCAAGAAATCTAGTTTTATGCTCTTTTTTCATTAGTATTCTTTCTATTACTTTTTTGTTTAGATATGCTAAATGTCTTTTTTTGTGTTGAATTGTAATAAAAAATTACATTTGATTAGTATTATATGTGCTTATATTAAAACTTTTTCGTTAAAAGTCTCTTGACTTCTTAACTCTGAGTGGCATGGCTATATATATATATATATACATATATATATGGTCTAGAATATTTTTCGGATGTCTGTAAGAATGTATATATACATGCAACTTGAAATATGTCCAAGAAAGACAGGCAGTGTATTAAAAGTACATAAATCCAGGTATAAAGTACCAGGGGCAATTTTTTATTAAATCAAGAAAATACCTCTTTTTCATGGCAAAAATTAGCCTGGCAGCTTTTAGAAATTAGTTTCTTCTTATTGAGTCGCCAGTCAGAAGGTTTAAAATAAATGCTTTTTCTGACCTTTGAGAATTTAGCAAGTGTTGTAATATTACTGAGGTGATTGTTTGGCAATTGTATATTATTTAATAGGATAGATATAACTGCCTCCATTGCCATTTTGTGAACAATAACTTCCATTCCAGAATTTATCTATAATACATTTATGACTTATGACTTACTTTTTTCTTGTCATTAACTACTAACGAGTTTTCGCCAGTAAATCCCATTAAAGTGCACTAGGCAAAGATATTTTCAAATAAATAGTACTAGGGAAGTACCAACACCCGTGGGCAAAGAAAATTCAGCTGCGTGAGCAGGCATATCTTAATACTTATGATATTTAAAGTAGGCGTTCATCATAAAAATTGTGGCAGTGATAAGCAATGGCATTAAATTGAAGCATGCAGACAGGTGCAGTGAGTTGTATGGCAAATGCAGATGGTGAGTGCAATATAGCTAGTAAGAGTGCAGGATAAGCAGTAGTGAGGCATCATGAAAATGACGCAAAGACTGTTTGAAGCTGTGAATGGCATAAGAGTTCAAATTCCTTCAGAAGTATGCAGTAGCTAGATATATAATACTTTTTTAAAACAATAAAGCTATAATTCATGAAATTTTATCACAATTAGTGGTGGAGAAAATTCAGTGATTAAAAGTTTATGGCGTCATAACTACCAAATAATAATGAGAAATCATGATGTCAATAATTGAAAATACCAAATTATTGTAACGATTTTAATACATTGAAAAAACAATGAATTTTATTTCTGATTTTGTTTACTACTTAGATGGAATATATTGTAAGTACAGTCAACTATTGAAAATCCACCGACCTGAAATACGTGTTGCCTTTCAAAATGTAAACGTTTAGTTTATAGATTCCGGAAACCGCAACATGGAATACGAAATATCGAAGAAAAAATACTTACCACCGGATAATGGCGTCATAACTACCAAATAATAATGAGAAATCATGATGTCAATAATTGGAAATACCAAATTATTGACATCATGATAAATGTTTTTTCCTCTGCAATCTGCATCAAGGTAAAAAAGCAGACGATTAACTCGACTCTTCTTTCAAGTTCACACTTCAAGTTATTTTACTTTCTGAGATTTGTTATTTCATGAAATTGTTTAGTGATGTCGTTTTTTTTTATCCGGATGTTTTGTGGATAAATTAAGAGTATTTTAAATTTTAGTGCATTTTAATACAATGACAGATAAGAAACACACTTGTGATTTTACAGCTTGCAACGTTGAAAAACATAAATACATTGCATTGACAGTAATGAAAAAAGTGGAAATTCCACTGAAGATTGGGGCAGGTGCTACTGCTCAGTTTATAGCAGAATCATATGGAATTGCTACATGGACTGTGTATGATATATAGAACAATAAAAAAAAGCTGTTGAAATTTTACAGCAACATTGATTATAACACTGGAATCCGAAACCGGAAATCTTTGAGGCAAAATCGACAAACCTTGATACTGTCTTGTACGAGTGATTCCGGCAGTGGCGGAGTGATGGGATACCTATTTCAGGACTATTTCGGAGAGAAAAGGGGAAGCAGATACATGCTGATTTAAAAATAGAGGAGCCTAATGTAAATGAACAATGTAATATAATCAGTTTATATATGTAATAATAATTTAATGCATATAATTAATTATTGTATTAATGTATATAATTAAATTAAATGCATCTAATATGCCTTATTTATTTTGCACTTTTAATCTGAATATTATCTTTTCTGTCCTGAAATCCACAAAGTCCTAAAATCCACACAACCTCTGGTCCCAAGCTTTGTGGATTTCTGGACTTCTAGTGTATTTAATTTCTTTTATAGAGGAAAACAACTCCTATTATCATAATGGTAATGCTTTGGGTGTTATATACATATAAGTCATTTGTAATTGGCAAAGTTTTGTGTTTTCAAGTGGGTACCATAATTAATTAACCTTTAGCATAACCAACACGTGCTTTGCAGACAGCCTGGAATTTCCTTAAAACACACCTGAAAAACCTAGAAAAGTCAGGGAATTTCATTCTACTGGCAACCCTATATCATTCATTTCAGAGGTTTTTCTAAATCAGTATTAATTTATAATAAGTAGCTTCAAATCTGTATTTGAAACTATATATCTAATTTGCAGATCATTGTTAAAAATTAATTTGTGTTCTCTTAAAAATTTCAGACAAATTCAACCTTTTTACGAGACAATATAAAGCTTGATGCATCAGACTGCTATAGTTCTACTTTAGGCTTTCTCCTAACTTGGGAAAATATTTGGCATCATCTCAATTCAGCTTCACCAACAGCAAAACTGCAAGGTAATTATTTGGTTTTAAAATTACATCTAAGCTTTGCTTATCATTACAATGCTATAGTGTTTTATCCATTATTAATCTTTATATAAGTGCTTCCTTACATCTCTTAGTACCAAATGTATAAGAAAGACTACTGGATACTGATAGTCATCATTGCAGTCCTTGCTAATATGGCAAACACACTAACTATTTAGCTCATGTAATCTGAATAACAGGCTGTTTTCCCTTAGGAATTCATTGATGAAAATATTGGCAGATAACTTGTGTATATTTTGCCTTAATCAACCAACCTGTTACTCTGTCCCCCTCCCAAATAAAAAAAATAAATAAATAAAATAAAAAAATAAAACACCACTCTTCGGTAAATTTTGATAATGCTATGCTATAGTCTGGCACTTCAGTAGTACCCCCCACACCCAACAAATTTGTGACTGTAACTCATGTCATCATCAGAGTGCAGCGTTTATTTTCGCGTTATCATACCCTATTTGCATACTTTTCATGAAGCGAAAAAGCCCATTATCTACACTGATTTCACCTTGAGCAGTGATATGTAGTGGCACACATATGCATGCAAGATAAGCAAATTCAGGCCACTAGAAAGGACAATTATCTACTGACAAATGCAAGAGCCATCTGAAGCCATGTGGCATTTTCTTCACAGAAATTTCTCTCTAGCTGATTGGAACATGCTGTTTTTAGTGATAAGTCCAGGTTTTGTTTGTGAACCGAAAATGGTTGTGTTTGAACGTGGAAGTCTGGTGAGGGCTTCAATATCTTCTGTGGAGTGTGCCTTAATTGTTGATGTGATGATCTAGACCAGGGTTTTCCAACTTTTTCTTGCATTGACCCATTTTAAAAGAAGGATTTTCTTCATTGATCCCTTTACAATTTTCCCTATAAAGTGCAGTATGCAACATAATTATAATACAAATAATTGCATATAAATGAGTTATAAATTAAACTTTTAAATACAGCTAAGAGATCTTAAGTTCATAATCCTCTATCTAGCAGAGTTTAAAAAAGAATCATAAGTCAAAACAACTATGAAAACTTTATTTAACAAGTAAAAAATTTGTACTTAATCAGTACAAAGTAGATAAAAAAATCTCTGAAAAGATTTGTTCGAGAATAGAATTTACTCGCACAATTATTCATGAAATTCAAACACTGAATTTAATGGACTGTAGATTTCTATTATTTTACTTCTGGTAATAAATATTAAACAGATGAGAACTTACATAGTCTTACTTGGAGGGACACTCTTGCCTTCCACATATATACATTTACCAACTCGAACTACCAGCACACACTCCTGCAATGGCCGCTAGCTGTCCACGTTGTAGTTTTCTATACGTGGTTACCAGATCACTCTAGTTAAACAATATTCATTCGATCGAGGCGTCACTTCTTCTGCATTAACATACCACCTGGGTTGGGCATTTGTTACACAGTTAACAATGACCAAAATTAAACAGTTTTAAATCACCATATAGTCCAAATCACATATCACAAAATTTAAATTGATGCACATGAACAAAAGCAATAAACATAATTAAACACAGAACATTAAATGCACAGCATATAAATTCAAATACAATGCATAAATAATAATTTTTTTAACTCAGCAAATATATGTGAAATTATGTAAACATCTACTGGTAGTACAGCTAATTTAGTTATTATTTTTTTTTTTTTTATTTATTTTTTTTTTTTTTATAGACCTCTTGGTTTTTACAATACAAACTCTAACCTTTTTATCCTTACCATGAATTATCTCTTCTATTTTCTCCAGTAACCAAGTCGAAGTGGGCAAGTTGTCTGTCTTCCTTTACAAAAATTATAGTGCCTTTTTTAACGTTATCCTTAGAAAAATACGACTTGAATCATTGCTGTAAATGACCGATGTAATCATTTTGCCACCTTTTCCACAAATATTGCGTTCTTTAGTAGTGTGCTGCCAGCGCTTTAAAGAACTGTCAGAAAAATTAGTTAAATCAGACTCCGTTACTGATGTTAAAGGTCGCCCGACTAGAAAGTGTGTGGGCATAAGAGCTTCTAAATCATTGGTGTCATTCGACAGAGGGGATATTAGACGTGAATTTAAAATTCCTTCAATCTGGTTCAAAATTGTAAGAAACTCCTCAAATGTAAAAATCAACCTCCCAACTGTATGCTTAAGATAAAACTTAAACGACTTAAATCCTTTCAGATGTCAGATATTTGGTTAAGAATTCATCAGAGTACTTTATCAAATTGTAGAGTCGCTTCGATTCATTGCTAGCCCCAACAAAATTTCGAGCATTGTTGCTAAATATGGATGCACACTTTCTTCTAGAAATAAACTGTTTTAAAGCAGCAATAAATGATTCTGTAGACAAGTTTTAAACAATCTCAAGGTGGACTGTGAGTCAAGAGGCAAACAAAAATTGCAACATAAATCTTGTTCACTACGCTCTTCATCTGAGTCGTATATTGTATACCAAAAGGGATACAGAAGTCAACACCAGTGTGGTTAAAGGGAAACGATGGATTTAGTCTCTCTAATGGTAAATTTCCGATCTTTTGATCCAGCAATACTGGTTTTACCTTGGCACGCGTTACACATTCTCTTACTATTGTTCTAGCAAGATTACGTCCACTTATCGGCCAAAATTTTTGTCTAACACTATGCAAGAGCGCTTGTGCTCCAGTATGGAAGTTTCGAATATGGTAGTGTAACATAATTAAATGAGTCAGTTTATGATTTTTTGGAAAGACAGCAGGATGCTTTGTGTTAGAAGGCAAGTTAGCTTCCTGCAGTCTACCACCTACTATAATAACTTGAGATTAATCTAAAAAGGGGCATAAAATTTTTAACTATTTTTACCTACTTCCCTTTTCTTACTTAAGTCCTTGAATCCTTCAGGAAAGCTTTGATGTTGGTCTAAGGAAAGTAATTTATTTTCTTTTAACAAAACCTTATCTACTGTCAGATGACCTACTTGTTTTTCCTTGGATCTACAATTTCCTATAAATCTTAAAACATAAGCAAAAACATTACTTAATTTAGCATAACAATTAGTAATACTAAAAACATAATTCAAAAGAGAATTGTTAACAGTTACTGTTAAATTTACATTAGGAATAATTTTCAGTTCTCACACATAGTTCTCATTTAAATTTTCCAAGTTATTATTAACACTATAATTAATAACATGTTGTTGCAGAAAATTTGGTTCTTGAAACATAAAAAGTTGCCAACGATAATTTCCGTGCTCAGACCACGAGAAATTAGGTCAGCAGGATTGTTTGCGGTTCTGACATGTTACCAGCAGAAATCCTTAGTTAGCTCTTGGATACGAGCTACTCTATTTGACACAAACACTTTTAGAAGAGGAGGAGACTTAGCAATCCAGGTTAACACAATTGTTGAATCTGTGTACAGAATAACTTTGTCAAAATATAAACTCAAAGATGTTATTACCTTACACGCAAGTTTGGAAAGGAACTCTGCTGCACACAACTCCAGATGACGAATTGTTATTACTTTGATATGCGATACTTGAAATTTGCTGCAAAGTAAAGTCACTTTAATTTCGCCAGTTTCAGAGATACAACGCAAGTAAATTACTCCACCATATCCAAACTTTAAAGCATCAGCAAAACAGTGGAGCTGAATTTCTTTAGTTGATCCTATTAGTGTCATGAGGGACTTTGATTTGTCTCAACTTTGGTAAGAACTTTTGAAATGTCTCCCCACTCTTGTCGCTCTTTGAAAGGAAGTGGATCATCCCACTCTAGATGTAAAAGCCACAGCCTTTGCAGGAACATCTTAGCATACATGATTACAGGTCCTAGGAAACCTAAAGGATCAAACAGTTTAGCAACATCTGCCAAAACCGTGCCTTTTGTACAGATTTTTGATGAACTAGACACAGTAAAACTAAAAAGAGTTAGCTTAGCTTATACCGCCCGTTATACATTAAACGCGCATGCGTAAACGTATTATGCGCATGCGCACACACATATTTGCAGCCGTAAAGGTCTTACGCGCATGCGTCAACGCGACGCATGCACAGAAAGTTTGTAGCTTTGAGGTGCGGATTATAGATCATTCCGGATTATGGGTGTCCGAATTAATGACTTTTGACTGTATTAAATTCTGTACATTTATTTTCAAAAAGTTGTAGCTAAAATCCATCACAAGTATATTTTTTGAAATCTAAAGTTGCTTTCGTTATACTTTAAAATTCTTTTCTTAATTAACAATGCTTCCATAATTAACGTTAATTAATAATACCGAACCTATATGAGCACATTCACTTACCTCCGTTTGAGGTAATCCAAGTGAAACCAAAATTTCCAATTCCAATCACACTAATTTCTAATTATCTTGACGAATGTCAATTTATTAATTTAACACTTCACATTTATACTTTAACCAGCACTTTATATCCATAGGCACTAATCTTCATACCGATCGCTAAGACCAAAAATGTTCAAGAATAGAATTTACTCACCCAATTATTCATGAAATTCAAACACTGAATTTAATGGACTGTAAATTTCTTTTATTTTACTTCTGTTAACAAATATTAAACTCATGAGAACTTACATAGTCTTACTTGGATGGACACTCTTGCCATCCACGTACATACACTTACCAACTCGAACTACCAGCACACACTCTATCAATGGCCGCTAGCTGTCCACGTTGTTGTTTTCTATTCGTGGTTGCCAGATCACTCTAGTTAAACAATATTCATTCGATCATGGCATGACTTCACCTCTGCTTTAACAAGATTTAATATTAAAATGTCGGGGGAAAAAAAAGGATTTGCATAGACTAATTCAATCCTCTGATTATCGTCAGACTTACCTGTTAGGCAATCATTGTAAGTGTATTTCCCAAAGACAGGAGGCTGAAAGAAAAGCTTAGTGACTTAGATTCTGTCTCAGGTGTACAGCAAATCCTGCCTTGCTAGTGTATAGCTTGACACATTCAATTGATGCTTCTACATTTTATTATGCAAAAAAGATATTAAAGCATTCTAACATTTAAAGATTATAATTAGAATATGAATATGAGCAAAAGATTTGAAAAAAAAGTGGCTTATTAGATTTATGTGTATTTATTTTTTGTATTATTATTTTCGATTTGACAAATGTAAACTAGTTTTCTGAACAAGAACCTCGATTTTAATTCTACAAAAGTTTGTTTTTAATTAATGTAATGGCATATAGTATTAAAACAGTGTATTGATGCAATTAAAAAATATTTGGCATAAAATTGTGTAAAACTTAAATAATTCGAGTCAAAAACATTAAACTTGTTGCTTTTTTTTCATGCTAGTTTTGAGTTCTTCGCATTTTTTCATATTCTTTCCATGTGTTCTTGGATTTCATCTTTTATATTGCACTTATGGGGGGGGGAGAAGAAATAATTTTACTGTTTTTTCCTCATATATTTTTGATTTTTTCCTTATTAAATGATACAGCTACGTATCAATAAACATTTAATTATCAATTTTATTAATACATTTTTTGGGGGATGTTGATAATGCTGATCAATTTCTGGTGCGTATTTGGCTATTGACCTTTAAATGACTGTCTGATTGACATTGATCCCCTTTAAAATTTCAGTGACTGTAGGCATTAGACTGACCCCATTGGGAGCACCTTATCTAGACAGTGGTTACATATAACGATCTTTCATCTTAGAAGTAATATGAGGAACATTTAATAGTTCAACAATATATTATTGTACTGAGTCACAAATGTTACCTGTAATAGATTTTCCAGCAGGATAATACTTGTTCTTGCCTAGCAAAGGTTTTCCTGGAATAGAGCATCTCTGAACTACATCCTCGACCTATCCAGTTGCCAGATTTGCCATTGATCAAATATAATGAGATCAGTTTGTATGCCAACTGAGGGAGTGTATCTGTGAAGCTTAATTGCAACATCTGTGGTCAGATGTACTGCTGCAGAATATCATAGCTCTATACCTCCATACCAGATATCTTGTGTATAGGCGTGAGATTACTCAGCAGGATCTTAGAACCTCCTACAGTAGCCTATATTTTAAGCTCCACACATGTTTGAGCTGAATGCTGGTAGTTTTGTCTTAGGTTTGAACCCAGGTGTACCCAAGTTTTCCGCATGGATGATTTTTTTATAGTATTCTATTTGTATAATGTGAATACCAGCCTGTTTGCCTTAGAACGTCCTCCAAGAAGGCATACCTTACTTTAGCTAGATAGCCCTCGTTGTTTGTGGTTTTCTTTTACTAATCTTCTTCATACCGGTCACTAGGACCTGTTTAATAATAACCTGTTTCCCTTAGAGAGTCCTCCAAGAAGGCATCTCTTTCTTCAGCCAGATAGCCCTCATGAGATTTGGCATATTCCAGTAACCATAACTAGTTCTTTATTTTATATTTTTAATAGCATTGTAAATACACTTATCCTGTCGCTGGAATATTTTAATAATTTATGTGTATTAAATTACATTCGTGCATTTCAAATTTCATTTAATTCCAATAACTCTTCCTTGACGTTCTCTGCCATACAATTGTAGATTACAAAATTATCCTTATATGTTCTTGAAAAGTTTCTTTTTTTATATTTAACATATTCAATATTTATAATTATAATAGCAGCATGTACATTTTGGGAGTTTCAAGATATGTGTTATATTATTTTAGAGGCATGAAGGTATAATTTAGGTATTGTATGGAACAAGGTATTTACAAATAAGGGATACTTTTCAGCTTATTTGTTTCATTAATAACTTAATTGTCTTGTTATTCAAATGAGCATTCTGGTTGAATATTATTTCAAAACAAGCATTTAGAATAAAGTACTTCAAAATTAAGAAAAAGTTCTTAATATTCTTTTCAGGTGGCTTCTTTGACCTGCTAATGATTACTGCAAGACTTGCTCGAAAGCAGCAAAATTATAAAATGTGTTCTAAGCTTATAACAAAAGCTGCAAGCTATGTTTGTAAAACTGCTCAAAATTCTGATTTGATTGATTCGCCGTTATCTGGTGATGATGATGATGCAAAAGATGTAAATTTTTTGAAGAAAATGTTGAGAAGTACTTTTAGCGGGAATCCTAGTGAAAAACTTTTGAAAATGCAAAGGGAAGGTGCCAAATTACTCCACTGGTTCGTATTTGTCATTTTTAATTACTCCGTACTCCATTTAAAAAAAATATGTTTTTAAAGTTATTTAGAATGAATTTGTTTACTTTTAGCCTTGGAGAGAATGATTGTTCGCATGAACTTCTTTTACACAGTGTCACTGTTATTTCAAATTATCTTAAAGATTCAAATAACCAGCTTTCAAGTGTCACCATTGATCAACTCTCTGAATTGAATTCACGGTAAGAAATTTTCTTGCTAGTTAAATTTGTTATCATGTCAATATTAGAATAATCTATAGGTATTGGAAGTTACAAGATCTGTGTGTCAAATTTGTGAAATTTAATTAATTTTTATATTTTTCTGAGAACTATTTCTAATTTTGTAATCTCATGCATGAAACTCATTTTTCACAAATTTTGCAATTTTCTGTAAAGGTGTCAAAAAGTTTTTCAGTTTGGAATTTTTTTAACATGCCAATTTGTTATTAAGTTTGTATTTCAAGTGTATACTTTTGTCTGCCATTTGTGTACATGTCTGAATGTGTTTTATAAAAATTATAAGTTGTTTTGTTTTTTGTAACGTGAATTCTTTTATTGTATGTAACCAAATTTGACAGTTTATCAATATTATGGTTAAGGTAAGTTTATGATAAAATTTTGATTATTTGATTTAAAGATTTCATGACAATTTTTAAACAAAAATAGTTTAATCTGATATTCTTAAAATAACAATGTATTAAAATTACATTTATTTCTCTCGATCATGTTTTAAAAAGTCTATACCCGTTTCCAAATTACTTTTTACGAAAGGAAGGAAGTAAGGAAGTTTCTGTAAATATACTGTAGTGAATTTAATTTTGTATATATATATTGGTAACAAGTGTGTTTTTATTTCTTTTTTTCTTTTCCCCAAAATATTCAGATTAGAAGTGCTTCATTTACAGATTTTATCAAATATTTGCTTAATAGAACAATAAAAATATATTATTTAGTGTGAATATTATTATAGAGCCTTTTTTTTTATGTGTTCTTTCTTTTATACAGCTGATTGATTATTAAAGGAAATTTAAGTTTTTAAATAATTAACATAATTTTTATAACATTTGTGGAATTATTTGTGAAGTAAAAAAGGTGTTCCACATCAGGTTACATTTTTTGGGTAAGAAGTTGCAACATTTGAAATAAATCATCACAAAGCAATATAAACCATTGACATATTTTGCAAAAAGTTTTTAATCTTCTAACTTTAAAAAATAGAAATTCAAAGAATTTTAATAGATTTTTAAAAATAAGAGAAATTTAAAAAATAGTTAAATTTACATGTATTTTTAAAAACAATGAACGTATAAAGTTTATGTTATTATGGTAAAGTTTCTGTTAGTACAGTTATTACAGAATAATAATTTAAGAATTTTATTTAATAAAAGAAATTGTATATTTTGAATACTGTATGTATTCTTGTTTTTACAATAAGAAATTTGAAAAAATTTCTTCTACACCTTTCCTCTGAAGATCCAAAGTGCATATACAAATGCAGTTTCATAATGAATAATTGCACATAATATAAGTATGCCAAAGAGTCATGCAGAAAGGCAGTATTTTACATATTTATTCTAAGCAAAAAGGTGCAGTAGATATAGTAATTACTGCCATCATCATTACCCACAAATTACTATCATTCATCTGGATGTTAGCTCTTCTGTTAAAAGCTTACAGGATTAGTTATATTATAGCTGCTCCCTGTTTCATATAATGTAGTCAGTTTCCTTTTTAAAAGCTAGCTTAAATTAAGTAATCCAGCCCATTATAAATTAAAGAAATAATTAACATTTTTTAAAATCTGGTGTATTGAATTGCTGTTTTGCTCAAGAAATTTTCTGAAACTTTTATTTGCAGATCTATGCTTAATTTGGTAAAATATGTACAGCAAGATACAAAATCTCTGAATAGCTCTTCTCATGACAACAGCTGGCTGCTGCTATTATACAATAGTATAAATGATCTCAAGTGCTCTGGAGAGATTTCTGGCATACCAAAGAATTTCATAATTGGTAAGCTGTTGATACTATCTAATAATTACATATACCTTTTCTTCCAGTTATTAAATTTATAATAAGACATGTTTTTATATGTTTAGATCTGCCACAAGAAAATGTTGTCAGTGACTTAGATTACCTTATTGGGCAGCTATTGCAGCTGAGTATTTACCAGTGTCCTTCCCTTGCAAAATCTTGGTGCAATTTTGCTTCGTGGTGCTATGGATGGGGTAGGAAAGTTGTAAACACATCCTCGTAAGTTTTTTTATGAATGATTTTTATTTTTAAGTTTTATTGCTTATAACTTAATCTGTGAGAAATGTAGTTTAATAATATTATTATTAAACTGACCTTTTTGCAGCTTCTCATGAGTTGTTTTTATGCTTTATTGTGTATTTTTGTATATATAAGATGGAAATAATGTATCTTCTCTTGAAATATTTTTTACTGATAATTAATATTACCTTTTTTGACACTTATTTTGTACGAGTAAGATTAATGAGGAATTTAGTATAATGTTTAGATATTAATGAGTTGCTTAAATTCTAAAGCAATGGAAAATGATGGTTTTTTAATTATAAAACTAATTTATTTTATCTGCAGGAATGGTTCTGTATTTATATATCCTGAAGAAGAAGCCAAAATAATATCTCTGATGCCTAATGTAAGAACTCATTATGTGATTTCCGTTTAATACGTGTAATAAGAAAAAAATAATTTTAACAATATTTTTTTTGCTGAAATGTCTACCAATCTTAGTTGCAAAATTGCATATTTAATTGCTCCATCTGTAAAGCATAAATTTAAAATCTTGCCTAAAGCTTATGCTGTGGTCATTTTAATAAAGAAATACTGACTGTGTTGTGTTCTACAAACAGTTCTTGCTCTGTTATAATTTTCAAAAGAAATATCCTAAATTAGTTTGGGATCTTATTTTGAATTTATTTCCAGGCTTTGAAGGAAGACATTGATATTTTACTGGGCATTATCACTAGTTTAAACAGTTCTTCAGGCGGTGAATGGGATAATCAAGAAATGGTATTACTTATTTATATATTTTGCACATTTTGCCCATTTTTTGTAATGCAGTTTCTATTGTAATACAAAATTTTTTCTTGAGGTGATTGCTTTATTTTTCTTTGAAAGTGTACTGTTTTCAGAATTGGGAGAGGGGGAATTCTAGACTTTAATGGTGCATGCAAATTTAATTACAATTCAGATATATTATTTTTATTTTCTCATTTTTCCTCATTTTTTATATGACACCAAAGAAAATCATATTTTTTGTTTATTTCTTAGGATTGTAATGTGCAGTAATTATCTGTGTTTAGGTATTAGTCATTTAATTATGTAGTGTGTCATTAATAAAAGAAATGTACTATGTTTATCATGTAACCCCTCCCTCCCCCCAAAAAAAACTGTCCTTTTCTGAAAATGGAACCTTAGCTTATAACCTAGCAATAACTTTTATATTATTTTTTTTGTTTGATCACTTTTGAAGTTTAGTAAGGGCATAAGGTTAAGCTTATTTGGCATAATTTTAAAAACTATCTAGTCTATCTTTCTAGTCAGCCAGATGAATTTTTGTCTCAGTTTTTTAACTAACAACATTAGAACAATAATTGAATGCAGCAGATGTCAAAATAAAGCTTGAAGTATAGAACTAAATTAAACACAAACTTACGTCTGCATCTTGTGGGAATAATGGCCAGCATGGAATTTAGCTGTTTATGGTTCATACATATAAGTTAATCCTAGCACCTAGCTGAGTTAATTTTATGGACTATTACTTGACACTGAAAGGGGAAGCTCATCTACCAGAGCCAGTTAAAGAAATTGTGAGTTTTCCTGCAAGTTCTGAGATACCCCTTAACAGGGTATAATTTAAAATTATACTTTCTGTGGCATTGTCAGACTGTTACATAATTTATTATTACTGATAATTTTTTTTTCCTAAAGCAAAAAATTATAACTTATGTTGTATTTTTTGTTTGGTATGTTAATAGCTTTAAAAATAATGCAATTCTCAGTAGTCAAGTAGAACTCAAATGCCATTAAAAATGGTAATGTAACACTTATATGATATTAAGAAAAGTGCATATTTTGAGCAACACAAAGGGAAATGTTTAGCATATTTTCACTAAACTCAAAATCGTAACACATTTAACAGTTTCTACTTGAAAAAATTTTAAAGTGTATAAAAAGTAAGCTTACTTCTATCACATTACTTCTAATACTTTTTTCATTTTACATTACTATGTTGTACACATTTAGTTAAGTACTTATTCTGATTTAATTTCTAATTTTTATCAATTTTCATACAGTTTGTCTTTTAAAGTCAATAATATTTTTTTTCTTTCCTGACCTTTTTTTCTTTTTAGGTAATTTTGTCTTACATTTCTTTAATCTTTACGTCCTGCTTTATGAGTAGCAAACATTTTAATTAACATGTTAATGTCCAATGAACATCCAGTCTTCCTTTTTACTGCCATTATAGAAAGACCTCTTAATTGTTCTTCATTCATTGGAGATCAGAGAAAAATATTTATATATTCACATGAGTAATGATATGGAGTTGTAACTGCTCAGAATTCAGCTTGTAGAGCCATTAGGTATTTTTGGAAGCAGGCAAGATGAAAAATTAGCAGCACCTTTTGCCGGGAATCGAACCGCGGACATCTGGAATACATGCCCAGCATGCAGACCACCACACTATGAAGGCATGCCAAGAAGGTGGGAGAAATACCTTATATACTCCCACTTTAAAAGGCGACTGGGGTTTTTAGAGGACCCAATCGCCAAATCCTGGGTGGAGAGAAATCATCATCCACCACCCTTTTAGTTCGGGCGCCACTGTAGAGACATTAGGTATTTTTTGGAAGCAGGCAAGATGAAAAATTAGCAATGCTTTCACTGGGAATCGCACCATGGACCTCTTACTTATGCGCTGAGCATGCAGACCACTACACCACGAAGGCTCACTAAAAAGGCAGAAATGCCTTATATACTCCCCCTTTTAAAGGGCGACTGGGTTTTTTAGGGGACCCAATCGCCAAACCCTGGGTGAGGAGAATCATCATCCAACATCCTTTTTAGTTCGGGTGCCACTGTAATGATATTAGGTATTTTTGGAAGCAGACAAGATGAAAAATTAACAGCGCCTTCGTGGGAATCAAACCGCGGACCTTTGGAATACGCGCCCAGCGTGCAGACCACCACAGTGCGAAGACACGGCAAGAAGTGGGGAGAAATGCCTTATAAGTTTATGAATTGAATAAACATTCTATTATAAACACATTGACTTGTAGATATATCAAACACACTAATATGATCCTATATTTGCGATCAGTCTAAATTTTATACTGGCTGCAGTAGAAGGCAGTCCACAAAAGGCTATATTTCTGTTCATTGATAGTTATTGTATTTTAGAAATTATGAAAGTGTAAATGCTGTTAAGAAGGGAAAAATTAAATAAGAAAAAGAAGCTTAAGTGACAGTACATATGTCAGTCACTGTGTGATAAATCAAAAGGGTTCTATATTCAGCATATGTGAAAAACTTGCAAATAACAATAAGTCAAACCTCTTTCCAAGCAAAATACTTAAGTATTGTGTTCCAGACCAAAGAAAATTAGTGGTTATTATGGAGCATCTCCTCAAGAAGAAATTGCCAATTTTTTGTGTGCATTGGGTTCATCTAGTTATTTGTTTCTACTAAGAAGAATATCGTTATGAATGTTCTTAATTTACTTAAACCTTATTCCAATAAATCTGATAACACAGATGAATCTGTAATTGCAGTACCTCAAATTCTTTTAGATGAGGAATTGTTTTATCAATTACTGTACATTTAATTTTGTATTTTATCAATTTTTTGTACTCTAAGATCATTAAAACGTTTTGCTGACTGGAGGGTTTCATTATACTTTCCTATTTAGTTTGTAAAATTGCTAATATATCTGGTAATTGTTTATCAAGGGAAGTAGTTACCTTTTGTAATGAAATCAGATTTCTTATGAGAAAAATTTCATATTGAAATATATGTAATGTGTAAATAAATATATGCTAATATTCTCCCCTTTAATTCCCCCCTACCTTCAGGATTATACTGAAAATGGTGCTGAAGAAATAAGATGGCAGATTTTAACAACTTGCCCATTTCTTTTGAAAGTTGAAGATAGTGAAACAGTTATTGAGAACATAATAGATATTTGGAAAGGCCTTGTGACTCGAGCTTATTCATACTATCGTTTAGCTGCTATGTCTTACTTGCAGTATTTGCAGTTGAATGGAAAGGTATTATTTTTTCATTAAAACTTTTAAGGTTATAGTTCTGAATATAGTCTCATAGAATGTATACTTTTAGAGTCCAAATGAAGAAAAGTCTGATGATGATAATGTAACAGCAACACTTCGTTTACTGAGATTAGTTGTGAAACATGCATCTGAATTGAGAGATGTTTTGGAAGATGGTTTAGCAGAAACACCCACAGCTCCTTGGAGAGGTATATTTACTTTTTTCTTTCAGTATTTTTAGTCATAAAGTTTTTAGTGTGACTATTTAATTATGTTTTAACAAGTTATCTTATTTTAAAGATTTTTAAAAAAGTACATTTTTTATGTTACAGGAATAATTCCACAGCTTTTCTCACGTTTGAATCATCCGGAACCTTATGTTAGGCAAAGCATTTCTGATCTGTTATGCAGAGTAGCACAAGCTGCTCCACATTTGATTGTTTTCCCAGCTGTTGTTGGTTCTCTGACACTGAAAGTTGGACCGCAACTTCAAGAAGAAGCTGCTGGTAATTATTTTATGCAGAAAAATATATCTTGGACATTACTTTCTTCTCGTACATTGGCGATTTTTTTTTTGTTGTATTGAAGTTACAAATTACTGAAGCTAAAAATAACTTTAAGTCCTGCGAATGTTAGGTATCATACAGCTATAATATTTTGGCAGTTTTGCTGTTATACATGTGTGCATATATATGCACTCACATTCTACCTACACAGTCTTAAGATTGAACAATAAAAAGGAAAATATATTTGAAGAAAGTTTATCATTGCAAGCGTTTTACTTACACTTATCCCTTTTGATGCCTTCATTGTCATGATATGGTTGACATCTTCTGGAATCTTACAGATAAGTATCAGATCTGGCAAATAAGGATGTGCTTAATAAAAGTTAATCTTTGTTTGCAATCAAAAGCTTTATAACTGCATTGTGTGACAAAGGAATAAAATTACCTCATCAAGCCATTTCTTGCCAAGCTCGACAGACTCTTTTCAGAAGTTGCTGTCTTTCCTTTTCCAAAGTTAAATTCTCTCCCCCCCCCATTTTTTTGTAGATTAGAGAATTTACACCTTCATGAAAAATTTCTCTGTGCAGATCAAAGTCTGCACCATAGTCTTCATGAAACTCCTGAAAGAAAGTTTCTTTGATTTTGTTTGCTAGTGGCACTCTTATGCAAATAATATTAGAAATTTGTGTAAAGCCTGCCTCCGAAAAAGTATTCCTGCACATCTGCAAAAATTCATCTACATAGGGAAGTGTATCTCTGCTCCGTCAGATACATATCTGCAGCACTTGAGCTGGGAGTCATGATCATTGTGCATGATGGGATACATTATTACCGAAGATGTACTTGGCAATAGCCAATGAAATAGTATGTAGAAATCGCATGTCTGAAAAGTTGTGATGGCTACTCTCAGCATTTAGCTACTGAGTAACGTATGAAAAATTATTTGGAGTTTCTGTTATTATAATAAACTTAAGTTATGATACAATATTTCTTTTAGATCAGAATTTCAATTGATTTCTTTATATGTAGAAAAATACAAATAATTTGTACTTCACTTTAATACAAGTAATTTGATATTGTAATTTATTTATTTTTTATCTCATTTGTTAGCATTAGTTTCTGTTTGTTTAATTATGGAAATGCTCATGAGGGTGTTATCTGTGTAAGGGAAGGGATACCATTGTGCAAAACTTTCTGAGGAAAATTGGCTTTTGTGCACATTATACATGGGGGAAAACCATTAAAAATCCATGCAGCCAGCCTCTTCACCAGGATTCGACCTTGCTATTCAGCGACTTTTACCGCTTAGTCACTGGTGGGCCCTCATTTGATAGAATGTTGTAAGAATATTTTTTCCTGTTTAAGGACATTACTATGTTCTTATGTTATGAGAAGTCTGACAAACAAGAATAACTTAATTTATTGTCCATTTGCATTTGATTACATTTCTTCTTATTATTATTGATTTTTCTATTTTTGTACTAGATTTAACTAGCTTCATCGCTTGGTACATGTGCCAAAGAGTTTAAACTTTCCATGAATCAACAGATTGTCAGTTCAAATCCAGCTGAGCTATTTTCTGATTTTTTCCACTTAAATGTTTTATTATTTCTGTAATTAATGGAGTACTATTTATATAAAAATTATTATAAATTTTAAATGTTATGCATAATTTTATTTTTTTTTATTATTATTGTGATTATTTTTGTACTAGATTTAACTAGCTTCATCGCTGGTACATGTGCCAAAGAGTTTAAACTTTCCATGAATCACAGATTGTCAGTTCAAATCCAGCTGAGCTATTTTCTGATTTTTTCCATTAAATGTTTTATTATTTCTGTAATTAATGGAGTACTATTTATATAAAAATTATTATAAATTTTTAAATGTTATGCATAATTTTAAAATTAATGTTATTTTATCATACACACCAATTTTATATTAGTTACACAATAATTTTACATTAATTATTTATATGATAATTTTATATTAATTATATAAATATAATTATGAGATTTTTGTTATTTATGAAGTGATCAAATTAGATTTCCATGAACCTAAAATGATTAATTGTCCTTAAGAGTCCTTAATTTCAGCCAAAATTGGTAGAAGGTCCTTAATTTTATTCATCTAAAATTTCTGTCAGTTTTTATGACAGCCATTTTGAGGGTGAATCCACATTTTGGGAGAATATTCTTAGAGATTCACTGACAAATATGTATTTCATGGATATCGTTTGAATTTATTCCTGTTTCTAATATAAACAGTGCAATACTTGAGTTTCTGTGCAAGAAATGAAACATAAGCATTTTGAAATTTTTTCATTTTTCCCCTTATAGAGAGAAACAACTTTTCTTTTTTGCAGATATGAATTCTTTTATTAAACAGTTCTGAATTAGGTGACTTATTATTTCGATGAATTTAAGATAAATTTCTGTGCAACATTTTTAATTTGGAGATTTGTGAAGTTTTCAGTGACTTGTTTTTTTAAAAAAATATTTTAACGTTGATAAATTCCATTAAAATAATAATATATTATAATTTATTTAAGAAATACCATTAAAATTAAACATTATTTTCCACTGTCATATTACAAAGTGAATTTGGTGACTTATTATTACAATATTTTGAATTTTAATCATAAACAAGATAATAATAAATGCTACAGAGCATGTTTTCTGAAACAATTCTTAGCAAAAGCAAAATATCTATGTGATTGTTTTAAAATTTTATTGCGTAGAGGGCTTATAGGTAAAGTGTTATCCTGGTAATAGAATAAAGTGATATTTTAAATATTCAACCTTATATCGTTTGCGTTCTTTTCCCACTCTCTCTTACTATTATCTGTAAAAAAAAAAAAGAGGATAGCATTTCTTTTATTTTACTCATGACATAAAATTTGCTTTCAATTTATATATTGTCATTTATTTTAACTTTCATAATAATGAAAGTGGGTTGCTGTTATTTTATGTTAAACCGTTAGCCGATGCCATACATTGTCTGTGCATTCCCAAATGAGTTTTGATATGCTAAATGTCTCGGCAGTAATAAGGATGCCTGGGTTCATTTGGAGTACACTGAGAGTCCCACCAGTTTATGAAGATTATTTCTCTAGAACAAATTTGAAATTGTCCATCATTTTAGTCATTTCCTTATTACTTTAAGTATTTGAATCCATAATGGCTGATATCTACTAAAAAAACTGGGGAAAAAATCCGATTCAGTTACAGGTGGGTAGGACACCAGAATTTCATCATTGGTAGTACAGATATAGTTTTGTTTGACTCTGCAGCTGTATCCCAATTTTGATTGAGAATATTGTGGAGGGTTTGAAGGTCTCCCACCTCTCTTCCTTACTACCAGTCACTTGATAAACTTTCAGCTTGCTAATATTTTAAATGCCTCTATGACACACAAACACTCTGCATTTCCTTCTCCAGGATTTGAACCTGGGCCCATCTGTATGGCAGCCAGCATTGCTAACCACTATGCTTATTAGGATGGCACTTTACCATTGGGTATATTTCAGAGGAGCACCCTTAAAACCTGATTGAAAAATTTGGTTCTAAAATTTACTGCACTTTGTATATGCAGGATATTTGAAAAAGATGATTACCTGTTTTATTTTCCTTAAATAATCTTAAATGTATGCTTTATGTTTTAAAGCTTCTTAAAAAAGTGGAAATTTAAAGATTTTCAGCTCTGTGGGTGCAAAATCTAAGTTTCATCATCTCCATAGAAAAAAATGTCTGATTATTAAATTGTTCATTATACTTTAATAAGATAAATATAACTATTCCATACTTTTATATCCAAAACTCGTGGAATATTAGTAATTCAGTCTAATTAGACCATGTTAATAATGTGTGTTGATTAATCAGTATAGAATCATTAATTGCAAAAATTAGCAAGTTCTGTAATTTCTCCCTAAATCTGGTGAAAGTCTAATTTGGGTACTCTAAAATCAACAAATTCATATATTTGTTTTGTATATTTACATTTTCTTTGAATATTTCTGTTAATTTTAAGAGTAATGATGTGAATTTTGTTATTTAATAAAATCATAATGAGTATTTTACTATTATGAAAATATTTCCATAAAACTACCTTATTTTGCGTGACTTTGTACTTCAAGAAAACACATTTTTAGGATATTATTAAAGGAAATAAAGTTTGTAATTACCTTAAAAAAAAAAAAAAAAAAAAAATCTTGCATGTCTTAAACTCTAACATGTAATATTTTGAAGTTTTGCCTCTTTATTTAAATGCAGTTATTTATTGAATTTTTTGTACTTTTCAGGTTTATTTGGTGCATATTTTTCTGACAGTATTGAAGACAATCCTACATCACAAGCAGATGGTAGTCAAGTCTCTGATAGAGATGAATTGCAGCAGCCAGTTGTCATGTTATCAGATGATGAAGATTCTGAGGAAGACCGACAGAAAACTGCTGTAATGCAGAATTGTTTTCATGCTCTTGTCGAAACTCTTGGCAGCCAAGATGAGCGAACCATTTCAGAAGCTAAAAATCTGATCCATGAACTTCATAGAATAACTTTATTATGGGATGAATTGTGGTTAGGGACATTGAATATGCATCAAAGCGAAGTTAACAGGTATTTTTCATTGTCTTGCACTCATATGCACATTCACTTTGAATTTCTTGTAAAAAGTGTTCCTTTTCCACTCCTCCCTTTCTGCATGTATTTTTTTCTTTTTTTGCTATCACTTTATTTTCAGATAAGGCCCATTTTATAAAAAATCTATAAAAATAAAGAAAAGGTATGGCTGCATAGTAGTCAAGTTTTATGAAATTTGGATAGAAGATGATAGTAACATAAAATATTTTCATCAAAATGAAGTATTTTGCCAGTTCTAAACCATTAAAAAATGTATGATATATGTATGCAGCTGCTCAGAGTTGCTTGCTACTCAAAAAGTACTTTATTTAAATGCAAATGTTTTATAGCACTCTAATCTGTGGAAAGTTCTCTGAATATGTATTTGATAGTAATAATTTAAAAAAAAATTGCTTATTTTAAACTAGTAGTCAGTGAAAAAATTCTCAGTTTTGACAAATTTAAAATATTGGGATTAAAGAAATTTAAAGACATATGTGAAATCAGTGCCTAAAAGAACATTACTATATATATATAATTTGTTGAAGTTTAGGAATTTTTTTTCTCTTGCATCTTCAAAAATAGCTTAGGTGGAGAAAAAAATCGTTTTTCATTTTTTAATTGGAGGGAATTAAAAAAGGATATTTCAGTTATTATTGATATTACGTAGGATGAAAGACAATATTATACTTCTGATGGGGGGGGGGGAATCTAGGTAGTGTTTTGATTCTTAACAACTGAGTGCCGCTGAATACCCTCCGTCCCACACACTTTGTTCTTTTAAATTCTTTCCTCTTTTTTCAGTGATTGTGATAAATGGGGGGGGGGGAGCTTTTTTACTGCTGAGCCTAAATCAGATATTTGGTGCTAAAGGTTGGAAAAGTTTTTTTCAGTGCTGAAGAGCTGTCACTGAACACTGAAGTAAATAAGTTACTGTACCGAAGGAAACTTTTTGTTGATGTTTAGAATTTACTACACGGAAATGCAAATATTGTTGATGTATCATGTTATGTGATTGCTAATGACATACAGTAAGACTATCAGAATTATTTTTATTATCCTTCAAACTTGATTGCAGTGAAACCTTTGAACCTGATTTGTTTCTGAAGCTACTTTGTCAAAACAGCGGTCATCAACCCTTAGAACTTCACGTACCCCCCTACATATATAATTTTATATTTGATGGACCACTAATATGAGTTAAAAAAAATCTTAATCAGATATTAAAAACATATTAATATGAAAAAAAAAAAAACTTTCCAATACATGTAATTCTAATTTTCATTTGTTGATATAATTTTCAAAACATTTGGTGTTCAGCAGCATGCCTTTATGGAAATTCAGGCTAACACCCCTGATTATGAGTAACAATTAAAACACTATTAACATCTCACTGATACACATATTTTGTTCACATTGAAAAATTATATGAAAAGTACAAAAATCTTACCATCTTGTACAGCAAGCTTCATATTTCCATATCACTGAAAAGGAACTTCACGAAAAGCAAGAACAAACCAACAAACACAAATCAATATCAATTAACTGAAAGTGTTACACCGCCAGTTTTTAATTATTGTGAACATAATAATCATTGCTTACTCAGCAATGGCACCATTGATCAACAGTTAGACAAAACAAAAATGGAAACTTCCAGTGATGCATTTATAAACAAGAATGCAGATGGTTCTCATATCTATCAAGTTGCCTATTGTCACAGAGAAAAACTGTGTTATTATTGACTACAACAGCATATGTTTGTAATTCAAAAGGAAAGAGAATTCCATTTCACGCTGTTATTGATAACAGCAGTTGGATAATGGATAATTGATAATGGGTGCCAGGTCTCATTTTCAAATGTCGCTACATACACCTGAAAAAGTAGCTAAAAAGTCATTAAATTCAGAAGGAATTTCTCTAAAAGTAGGAGCTAAACATTAAACAAAGTATAATCCATATTCCATAACAGGTTTTGTTACTTGTAATTTTTTAACTGAACCTTCTTAAAAATATAAATAATGTCCCAATTTTTCTGTGGACCATCAAAAGTTTTTCATGGACCACTGGTTGGTGACCGCTAATCCAAAATATTTGTAAACCGAAATAATTTTTTCCATAGGATGTAATTTAAAATGATTCTGATGTTCTTTGCACCAGTTAAAACTATCTCATTTTGCTGTGACGACAGTGAAGCATATACCCTAGGCTGTCTAGCGTAAAGACGTTTTTTCATTAAACCTCTTCTGTATGCAGTTGCCATGATACAATAGTTCTAGCTATAGCTACAAGCTCTGAACTTCACTGCTGAGGAGTAGACATCCTGTTAAAGACTACCAGGAATGGTACTTCAGAGCTGCAATGAGCCTTTTGGAGTTCCTACACACTGAAATGAAATGCTGTATTGCAGCGATTCACTTTTTGTAAAGTGATTCACCACCAGATGACATAAGGCCTTGATTTCCATATAAGAAACCAATTTAGCAGTTTTGATTGGAGAATGCTAATTATGCGTCTCTTTCACATATTCCTTGCAAAAATGGGATTACTTTGTTTGAATATTTTATGGTATATCGTTATGTTTAGATAAGTGAAGAAAAATTTGAACGGGATTGTGCATTGGCCAAATTAAAAGAGCCTTAAAACTTCTCACTAAGGAAAGCTAAACATATGTTAGAAATAAAGAAACATATAAATATTTTGTTTCCCAACACTTTCGGTCAGAAAATCATATTTTCCACTTTTCAGTAACCAAGATGATTCAAAGAGCATCTTTTAGAATTAAGTACCTTAATTGGTGAACTAGATTTTCTAGAGGCATTTCACATTCATGAAAGTCTTTCAGTTTTAGTTAATGATATGATATCCAATTTGACTTTACCCTCAGCTTTTAAAGAAATCATTTGATATTTGTTGCCAATAGATGGTGCTGGTAGCTCTGTTTTTGTTTTGTATGAAATCATATTGAATTTCCTTGTCTAATGTTTTCATTGGTTTTGCATGAGCACAGCCTGCTCTTTCATCATTTTCACTCAAGAAGGTTCCATGTTAAACCTTTGGAACTAATGCTCCAAATTTATAAAAACTACCACAGATTCCTGTTGCTTGAATTGTTTCATAAATGTTGTGGTGGTTAAAAGAATATCAATCTGTTGAATGTTAGCAAAGGCTATTATTGATATAGTAACTGAATCTTTTTAGGACTGTCAATTAGACAGTCAAAGTGACTGAAGACAGTCAGAAGATCTGCATATTTCTGTTGGAAATGCTTGTGTTATTCTTTTTGAGCATCTGCTGAGGCAATAAAGGATTACAAGATAAGTACCTTAATTGCTAATGCCAGAGAAGGAATGAGATTGTGTAAGCTTGTACCAGTTTTTAAGCTAAGATTGTTTGTAAAATAAGTGCAAATTTGTTATCATTGATGAAGTCTTTTTCTCACTGTGGTTCAGAAGATAAGATACATAACTCAGATAGGAAATCAATTCAGGTTATGGTGATAATTTTCTTTAATTGTCAGATAATGGTGCATCAGAATGTTCTACTATTCGTTACAGCATTTGATTCAAATTATTATGTATCGACATTATTAATGTTTTATGAAATATTTCCTTATCTTTATTTTTAAACTTGAAAGCACCACTGTGATAATTGCTCACAGACAGGATACAAGTAAGTAATTTAGGCGAAGCATTGAGCCTGTTCTACTGTGCATTCTAGATTAACTTTCCTCTGCACATTCTAAATTAAATTTTCTGTAGTTTTTTCTGTTTTTCAAATTTCAAAGAGAATTCATATGATTGTAAATTCGTATTGGCTGAAGAGATTCTTAAAGGCATCACTATGTTCTAAAGAACATGTAAAAAGATTATTTCGACAGATATTTGAAGACTGATAGTGGAATTTTGACAGACACATTTCTACTGGAAGGAATATCAGTGATAAATATATTCAATGATATTTAGTACATATAATATACATAATTAAAAAAGGGGAGTGCACAGATCTTTTCTTAGGTGCTCATCTCTCTCTCTGTATATATAAATGTAACAGTTTAAAACAAGGAGTAAACTAATGTATATCAAATTTGTAAATAGTCTCTCTTTTTTTTTTTTTTAATAGAAAATTTTGCCATTTGTCAGAATAAACAAAAAATGCATGGTAAGACATAGCCTTGTGGCAGTCTGAGATATCATCAGTTACCTACTCTGAAAATTTCAGCAACTAGATGAGACAGTCAGTTCTGCATTAGTCTTGTATTACTGTGTTTATTTATTGTGAACTTTAAAAAAGAAAAGGAAAAGTGACTGGTACTTGGCTGATAACAGGTATCTGCCAGCACCAATAATCTAAAACAGTTGCTGCTTTTTTGGCAATGGACAGTTGATTGATTAAATAAGTTTTTTTGATTTGATATTGTTTGGCAGTCATAGACATAAGCCCCGTTCATATGGAACGCTCCTTCGCACAGCTGCCGTTAGCAAGGGGAGAAAAAGGAGACATGAAAGAGTTTCGTCTTTAGGACCCGTTCAGAAGACCACCGTCTTCCTTCCCCTTTACACCTAAGCCTCTGTGAACAATCACGTCTCCGAATTGGCAGACTTCTAATACTGTTTACACATTCTTAACGCTGTTTATTGTTAATTTTGTAATCTGTACTTTCGCAACTGGTACCTGAAATTTCGTAATGGTTCCTGAAAAATATATGCTTAAGCTGTTATTTAGTTCACTCTTGGTGCTTGTTGCTATGGTTAAAAGATGGTCATGGATTTTTAAACTGCTCACCGATAAGATATAGAACTCAAACTTTGTACATACACTGCTTGTGGATGTGGTGTCATGCTTTTGATTTTTAGAGGATTAGATTTTTTTTTCAAATTTAAAGTTGAAACGACTTTCTACAAATATTAACAAACTGAGAATCTCAGAATATTACAGTTTGCACCATAACACACTGTGGAGGGAAAAAAAAATAAATGAAATTTTTAGCGTAATTTTTAAAAAAAATATTTTGGGAGAATTTTTGAAAATCGTTCATATTTTTAGACTTTTTGACGCCCATTAGTTTAAAAATTTCATATCTAAAAATATATCTGTTACAAACTTCCGTCATTTTCACAGCTTATAAAACAAACTTTTCGCATTTAAAAAAATGATAAAGGAAATTAATTGGATGATTTTCTTTTTTTGAAAGATATGCAGTGAAGCAGAGTGGGAAATATTGGTTCTTCTCGGGCATCAATAAAAGTAATAATCTCATTATACCACACTATTTTTATGACATTATTTATGCTATATAAGTTGTTATTGTTGCCAGTTGTTAGTTCAGCACGAGATTGGCAATATTTCTGAGTTAACATTCTCTTAAGATGCGTTTTGCATTCCATTGTGTTTAACATTCTTATTAGATTGAAGCATAACTACTGATTATATTTAGGGATATTCTAAACACCTGTACGAGTATTTCTGTGGAAAATTTCAGAACTTTGAAGTGTTTACATTGATAAAATAAACTTAATTAAGCTATCATCGGATTTGAGTGCAATGACAATCATTTACAAACTATTATCAATTTATTACAAACCTGTACGAACGCAACAATATTATAATTAATTAGTGTATTAAAATTGTTTTGAACGTGTTTTACAAAACAAAAACAGGTAAAGAAAAATTCGTCTTGCCTTTTATGAGTTTTTGCAATTTTTCTGTTGTGTAAGGTTTTAAAAAAAGGTTTGTAATTTATGTTTATATTTATCAATTGAATAAATAACACTAGGTTTGATTTATATACATACGTGTGTATTGAAATTCAATAATAAAATTTTAAAGATTTGAAATGATTAAATGTCTATTTAGACAATTTGTATTCTTTAAACTGCAAATGCAAACTGAGAAACCTTTTGCATTTTTTTCAATAAATCCTTTTGCTTAAAGTCCTAAAACATATACAGGTATGGACTAAATTTTTTATTATTTTTACTGCTTACTTAAAATTATATAATTTATAGAAACAAGGATGGGTTTTGCAAAATACTGAAAGGAAAAATTATTTGAAATGAAAATGTGACACAGATCATATTTGTTTTAAAGATTTTAGATAAAAGTGTATTTTTTCCCCCTCAGAAACTAATTCATTATTTGCAAAATCATTCCTTGAAGTTATTAAGAGCACTCTAATAAATACAATAAAAAACTGGGGGGAAGACATTGAAAATTGTAGGAGAAGAAAGACATTTTAATTGTAAAAGTTTTCTTCAAAAATTTTAATAAAAAAAAATACTAGCAAAAACGTTTTTTTCAGCTTAAAATTATTTTGTCTCACGAAACCATTTAATAATATTCATAAAAAGTAGATGAAAATGCTTAAATTTAAAAAAAAAAAAAAAAAAAAAAAACACATTCAAAAGGTACCGAGACCCTTGTTGCGTTGAAGCCGATATGCACTTGTCTTAACTTTAGTTTTAATTTGAACAATATTTCTGGAATACCTAGCATCAGGTAACCTTGTCTGTATTTGTCTATTAATTTCTGTATCTTGTACAGTTCTATCTAATTTTGGGGGGCATGCTATCACATTCCCAGACATCTATCAGCGCGATTGTTTCGCTGACAGTCCAGCGAGCAGTAACTAAAATTAAGTCAACCACGCAGTATAGTACGAAAAATCTCCCCATTTGCTCTGCTCCCGAGAGGTAAGGAACATTCAACCAAGTTCTACCTCCAATTCGGCGAGGCAGTTAATGCTTGTCCCATGTGAACGGGACACGTTAGAAGAACTGGTTTTCACTACCGGTCAAATCTGCTCTTGTGAACGGGGCTTTATTCTCCTCAATTTGATTCTGCCAAGTAAGAACTCTCAAGTTTCCAAGTTCTCGTTCAAACATTTTGTTAACAGTTAGTAACATTTTATTGACATTACATTTCCATCTGACCTCTTTTCACCAAGTTAGTTTTTTAACATGAGAATTATAATAAATATAATTCTTTGGCTAAATACTTGGAAGTATTGGATTGCTTCTGCTTCATTTCTGGGTAAATGTAGTAAATGCATGATGTAATGCAGTAAAATTAATTATAATAAATATAATTTTTTGGCTAAATACTACGTACTTGGAAGTATTGGATTGCTTCTGCTTCATTTCTGGGTAAATGTAGTAAATGCATGATGTAATGCAGTAAAAATCAATATAAGATGAATATACGAGGGTAAGTTGAAAAATAAGTTTCCTCTGTCGACTGTGGTCAGAGTTGTGTATGAAAGTCAAAAAATAGAATGAGACATTAAAGATATGACATTTTATTATTCTCGTACGAGTACGTTGAGACATTTGTCATATCGCTTGATAAGCTTCAAAAAGTCCTCCAAGAAAAATTCACGCTTTGCATATGGAAGAAGCGTTAAATGGCTATGGGCGAAAGGCGACACAGCAGGAAAACGCGCAAGTCACCGATACACCATAGGTCGCTGCAAATCAAGCAGATAGCGCTGTTGCAGTGCCTGCGCAAAGCAGAGACCAGCCTCTCATTTGAACCCCGGTAGGTATGGAGAGAAGGTGCGTTTTGAATTCGTGGTCAAAGGAGGAAGTGAGAGCGGTTATCTGCTATGAATGGGCACGTAGAGTATCAGGAACAGAAATTCATAACCGCCTCGTGGAAGTCTATGGGCCAGGTGGGAAGTCGAAGCAAATGGTGCGGAGATGGTGTCACACATTCAGTGATGGACGTCAGCAAGTGGAGGACATACCGAGAGCTGGACGGACGCGCACGGCCACTACAGATGCAAATATCAGGAAGGTGATGGCATGATTAGAGCGAACCGGCGTATGACCATGGATGAAGTAGCGGAAGAACTTGGAATCTCACATAAGCGAGCTCAAAACATCATCCACGACATTCTTCGATACAGAAAAGTGTCAGCACGATGGGTGCCCCGACAATTGACCTCGACACACAAGGAACAACACATGGGGTCAGCCTGGAACATCTCGTGCGTTATCATGAAGATGGCAATGACTTTCTGTTTCAGATTGTGACAGGGGATGAAATGTGGGTCCACCATTTCACGCCAGAATCGAAGGCTGCATCTATGGAGTGGAAACATCCGTCACCTGTCCGAAAGAAGTTCAAGACTACTCCCTCTGCAGGTAAAGTGCTCCTCACAGTTTTCTGGGACGCCCAAGGAGTTTTGTTGCTGGACTTTTTGGGGGTTGGAACTATCAATGCTATACCGCTACTGTGACACCCTGTCGTAATTGAAAGAGGCGATTCGGAAAAAGCGGCCTGGCCTTCTCACATCTGGCGTTCTGCTGTTGGATGACAATGCCAGACCACATTTGGCGACGGCAATGCAAAACCATATTGCAACTCTTGGTTGGGAGCGCCTACACCATCCGCCATACAGTTCTGATCTCGCAGCAAGCAACTTCCATCTGTTTCCGGCTTTGAAGAAAAATCTCGGGGAAAGGCGCTTTGGAAGCAATACTGAAGTGAAACAAGCCGTTCAACGCTTCTTCCATATGCAAAGCCCTGATTTTTTCCTGGAGGGCTTTTTGAAGCTTATCAAGCGATATGACAAATATCTCAATGTACTTGGTACCTATGTGGAAAAATAAAGGTACCTATGTGGAAAAATAAACATATCTTTAATGTCTCATTCTATTTTTTGATTTTCATACACAACTCTGACCACAGTCGACAGGGGAAACTTATTTTTCAACTTACCCTCGTATATTGTTAGAATTTTCCATTGAAAAAAGGAAATTCCCTTCCCAAAAAAATGACATACTGGAGAAAATTGCTTGTTGTATTGGTTTTGACACAATATAAAATAAAAAGAGAACCCAAAGCAAAGGGGGAAGTAGTAGAAAAGAAGGGGGCAACACTTTTTTCCAGAAGAACTTTTAGATTTGCCAGATTATGGCAGGAATCAGAGCGAAAGGTAGTATTTTCGGTGGTGTATCTGCATGTATGAGCTAATACACAAGTACTATCATTATTTGCTTCTAGCTAATTTGTCCTGGTATACATATTTTTAGAGGTAAGGTTCATATATGTGCTCTAAATATGAGTAGTATGTTAGGCAATTATATGGAATAATATTTATTTAAAAAAGGTGTAGAATGTAGATTATTTCCCTTTGAATATCTTATAAGATAAATATCTGAATTTTTATATAAATCAGAATTTATATAAAATGTTTGTTAAATTAAGTATAACCAGTCATTACAGGGAATTTTTTTAACTCTTGTGTTGATAGGTAAAAGAAAATATTTTTGTGATTTGCTAATTGAAATTAATTTTTGTAAATTTTAGGCGGTTCTCAAATTTAGAGAAAGAAATCTGTAAAGTCATGAATAATACATATTTAAGCAAAGAGGAAAAGAAGGAAATAGTTAAAGAAAAGCATAATGTCTATGTTAAGCCTGTAAGTATTTTTGACACTCAGCTTATATTTATAAAATTTTATAATTAATTTAATTTTTATGGTTAATGGTATGCAAGATGTAAATTAATTTTTAAAATTTAATTATTACGAACTAGGAATATTGTATTTTTGATGTAAGAAAGGCCTATAGCAGAATATTTTCAAAAATTTTTCTGCTGTTATGTTATATTACCATACCATTTATTTATGTGACCTGACATATATTACCATTACATGAGTCAAAAGCTAGTTAATTCTGCATGGATTGGTAACCAGAGCATTGCTATTTGACGTAACTGTCATATTATAACATTTTGTTCTACTTTTAGCAAACTGAATGAAACATGTTTTCAATGGCTGGCATTAAACACCTACTTGGTTTTCTGTTAAACTTCATAAATCTTTTAAAATGTTATTATTGTAGATACTTTCTGTTGAAATTTTGTTTTAAAATACATAGTGCAAATCAGGTGTTTTTGTATTTTGTTTGCCATAAAAATATTCTGGAATTTTTTTAAATTATACTGTTGTGTTCTGTGGGTTCGTTAATTTGAAGTAATTGATGACTAATCTAAACACAGTTTACTTGTCAGTATTACATAGGACAAAAAAGCTTTATAGTCATCAGAAAACTACGAGAATCATGCTGAAATGATCAGCAACACACTTTTGAGGCTATCAGGCTATAATGGTGAAGACAGCTTCATGGCAAAGCACTAAAGCATAGCTTTCGACTCGGCCGATCACTCAAGCTAATCTCTTAACTACTGAACTCAACATACTACTCGATACTCCATGTAATGGCAGGGTATTTATAGCTTTTAACCTGCCTTCTAGAACATTCTCGGGAACACTGGTAAGAATTCGTTTTAGAATGTTCCCGCTCTGTCTATGGCATGATGCCAAATGGGTAATTTCGTGCCCAATCTGGCAACACTGTCTTTCCTTGCCACTATCTGAGAAACCTAACACCACTTTGCGGGGAAGCTATCCTACTGCAGCTGGGCATTTTGTAACAATATTTAATCTGATGATTCAAAAGGGGCTAAATAATTGTATTATTATTTCAGGCTCTGTTGTCACGTACAATTGCAAAAATTGATTTTTGGCGTCTGAAAGAACTTGTTTTCTCTGTAGATACATATAAAAGAAAACCAAAGTCACTTTATCAGTATAATGTGGCCTTGTGCATGAGAGTCCGAAACACATGTCCGAAAACATCGTGTTCATATTCTCCATTCAGAATCAGGCACTGCTACCTGTCATCTGGCATATATCAGCCAATGAGCACAAAGCAAGATGGAGGTTGTTTATTTCATTGTCTCAGTAGTGAGCAGCATTAAGTTTCACATGCTTCCCAGAAACTTAAGAAACTATGCTCTTTTGTCTCGGTTATGTCTGCAAAAAGTATAAATTACTCATGTACTTTTCGAAAATCTTATACAAAGGACTTTTCTTCTATAATTGCATTAAGGAAATATAATATTGTAGTGTGTACCACTTGTCCATGTGATGTTTCGATTTCTCATGGTGGAATGGCCGATGTTCTTAAACATGTGCATACATAATGATAATGTGAATTGTATTGGAAAAAATTTTGGATCAAAGGATCAAAAGGTTATTAATGCAGAATGCCTATTCTGTGCCTTTTTTACTGGATCACATGAATGCATCAGATCATGCTGCAGCTTGATTCAGCAAAATGTTTCCTGGCAGTGATGTTGCTAAGAAATACTCAAGTGTAAGGACAAAAATGGCTGCAATTGTAGAAGAAATGGGTTCAAGAAATTGGTATGAAAAATAAATCTGCAGTTATTGACTGCATTAAAATAGTTCCATTCTATCTCTCTATGGATGGAAGCAATATTACCCATGCAAAACTGTATCCAGTTGTTTTTCTTTAATCCATAAATTTCAGAAATTGAATGTAGTTTACTTTCTATTCTCGCTTTAGAAAGAGATTTGACAGGCTTTAATACATAGCACTAATTATTAAAACATTAAAAGAAGGTGCAATTCTTCAGAACAGTTACTTGGCACTTAGTATTGACAATGCACTAGGAATGGTAGGCTTGAAGACTGATGTTGCAGGCATGTAAAAAAAAAAACTAGATATGCAGATTGAGGCGCACTTGCCACCTATTAAATTTAGCAGTCGTAAAAGAGTCAGTTTCTTTGCTAGTATGTGGGGATGAACACATTGTTGATATTTATTTTCTTGAAAAGATTTCTAAAAAGAAGATGATTCTAAAAAGACTTAATGCATGGGTGGGGGAAAAAGACTATAGTAAAACCTCCCAAAGGTGACTGCCTTTATTTCCAAACTGTTTTGGTCTTCAGTAGAGGTAACCTTAGAATAATGACTATCGATGAAATCTAAAACTGATGTTTATGCTGTCAGAACCAGATTATTTTTAGAAGTGGTTACTATGAGAGATTATTATATTATTTGATATCATTATGTTAATATTATGTTAAGGTAGTTAACATTGTTATGTTCGTATGACATTATCTTTTAATGTCATTATTTCGACTTTTATCTTATCAGTATTTTTACTGATAATTTGTTAATTCAAGAAAATTATCATAGAAGTGCAATAAACAGCAGTGAATTTCTAGTTTATATAATAGTATATTGTTATAGAGAAATGTTTATAGCACTATATAAATGTTAAATCTGTATAATTTTTATAGACATTATTTCTGTTGGAACAACTGCAGAAAATAACCACTCAGCCTCCAGAAACACCTCATGAACAGTGGTTTCAGAAAACATTTGAGAAACCAATAGAAAATGCACTGAATAAGTTAAGAAATCCTAGTGATCCATCAAGGCCTCAAGAAAGTTGGTCTGTTTTTAAACAGGTATATTAAAAATTTAATCCCTGTTTTAAAACAGTTTTATGGAATTTCGTTTTTTAATTTTCTAATTAGGCTTTTATAAAGCATTTTATCTTTATTGTTTTTTTTTTTTTACTATTGTTAACAGTTAATGAAATTAATATCGAATATATATAGGGATAAACTTTTTCAGTAAAAATAATAGTAACTTGTATATGATTTATTGATTTTTAATGAAAAAAATGTGGTGACATTACTTCTACGATGATGGTGAATTTATTTATTTATTTATTGTTTTTTAAAGCTTTATCAGTTGCTTCAACAAAAAGTGCAGCAGCAGTCACGTTCTCATCTGAGCATGGATCAGATTAGTCCTGTATTAGCATCTTTGAAATCTACAGTGATTCCTATGCCTGGGATTAATAAAGCAAGTGGTGTTATTACTGTGCAGTCTGTTCATAATATTGTGTCTATTTTGCCTACAAAAACAAAACCTAAGAAATTAGCATTCATTGGGTCAGATGGTCAAAGGTAAGTTGAATTATAAGAATTTTCAAACTATATTAATTTTGAAACTGTCCTCATATATTTAATTTAACACTCTTATTAAGATTCTTGGTTAATCATTAGCATAGCTGTCAACTCTTCCGGTTTTCAACTCACTTCCAGGTTTATTGATAGATTACTGAATCTCCCAGTTTTTAATTTAGCTGTTACTAAGAAAAATATTGTTCTGAAGTGCACAGTTTTAAGTTGAATTATAGCTATAAATGAAATTTACCCAATTTAACTTCTTCCCAAATCTCTACTGATCTCTAGAATAATTTTTCTTTTTTAAATTTCATTTGATTGCAATTGCCTTAACGAACTGTAGACTTTTCTAGAACTTTATATGTAGATTCAACTAAATGTTTAATCAGCAAATATTTGTATTTAATTTTGTTTTACATCAATGTATATTACATTAAAGTTTATCCTCACAATATTAAGTACCTTAATTATTAATTTTAAAAATTAATTATTAATCTATTATTATTATTATTATTATTATTATTATTATTATTATTTTTTGTTTTGTTTGTTAAAAGTACTTTGATAAATTAAATCTTTCCTTCCCTATGCAAAATTTTCTCAGTATAAAAGTCTTAATACAGTGAATTTAAGATTTAGAATATGTAACTAAATATTAATTTTAACAAACATTCTGTATTCATAAAAAGCAAATTAAAGTTAAAATTAAATAAAATTAATGCAAACAAATGAATGATTAATTATTGTTTCAAACTAATATACAATATCATTTAAATTCTGAGAGCGTATGTAAATCAGTGCAAGTATCAAAATCCATTAATAAATATAATTCCAAAAATATTTAATCCTAAAAATTATTATAAAAATGCATAGTGAATGATTATTGAGCTGGCAGGAGACAGACTTATCAAAGGGAATTTCACCAAACCTAACTCTTCAATCATTCATTCATGTTTCGTCATCCTTGTATGCAAGGGAAATTCAAACCAAAAGTAATACCAATTAAATTACTAAAAAAAAATTTAACAGTGGAATTTTGAGAAATTAGCAATTAAAAGACCAGAATTAAATTTAAAATAATAAATAAGAGTAGAAAACCAAAGTATTAGAAACTCTTGCCTACAGAAACTTCCCCCTGACACAAATTATGCATATAAATCAAAAAGAAACTAGACATTATCTATAAAAAATAATAAATTATACTTAAATTAATACTTTTTTTTTTTTTTTTTTTTTAAAGTATTCGGCGGATTTTTGGTATTTGACTGTATTATTAGCAGCGATTGCCGACAGTAAAAATTTCTGCCTTTTACAGTTCTTAAATGGAAGGCAATGCCAAAGCAAAAACACCCTCTTGGTTATTATAGCTAAAGTACATGTGAAAGATCAGATGTTGTCTGATTTAATGAATAATGAAAGTGTAACTCAAAATTGTGTAGAACTGTCAGCCAGGTGCTCCAAGTCATTATTAGTCTTGGAAAGTTTCTGCAGGCGTCTCTTGGAAGATGTTTGGGGGGTAAAGTGGTGGTGGCGGGGGAACTGGCCAAACACTTTTCATATCATTATTGTAGAAGAACTTGTGTTACTTCTGCAACCATTAGATATATCAGTGAATTAACCATTCGAAGAATTATTTCCAAAAGTTTTAAAATGGGTCTATATCAGTAGGTTTGCGCAAATTTACTATATCCAGAAAATTCTACCGACAATCCATTGAATTGATTACTCTTGGATTTGGGGGAGGGGATGGGCTCATTGATTAAGCAATAATAATGAAGAGTTTCTAGAAAATAGGGATTTCTAATGCTGTCAATGGTTCTAAAGATAATAATGTGTAAGAAGATGGACTTATCAGTGATGAAGACAATGCAGACAGAAGTGATGAGTTATAGCAGACAATGCAGACTACAATTCCAGCAGCATTGATTGATTTGAGTCGTAGGTAGTAGTGGATAACAGTAGGAACAGGTGAGATTCAAATTACAGAGAATTAGAAATGAAGGTATCTTATTAGATATTGTATTTGTTAATATTACTGTGTATTCTTATTGAAATGAAGGTTTCTGTTAAAGAAGTACTACTCTTATAGTTATGAGTAGTTTTCTATGACTACATTCATTTGTTATATTCTTAAATTACACACTTCAGAAATGAAATTACTTACATAATTTTCCCCTCTCAATTATTGGCTAATAAAATTAATAAAAAAAGGGGGATATGCAAGAAAATGTATCTTTATCAAGATAGTCATGCTAAACATCCTATGTGGATTCGAATTATGTTAGTCTTTCGTCAACAGTCCAGGGATTCAGGAACTGTCCATTAATGAACGTTAGAGAATTTATTCCTGAGATAGGCATATTAACTCCTCTAAAATATGCTGGTTTTATTATTATTATTTTTAAAAAACCAAGCTTTTATTTATTTATTTATTTATTTATTTGTATTAGGACAACTGCAGAAGAATTGAAATCAAACACACAAGTTATTTTAAAATAATCTGTCATTTCTCACACACACAGCTAATTTGAGACGTATATGGAGATAATGTCTTAGCAATCACGTGAGCAATGCATTTTATATAAAATGTATCATCAGATACATCCCTTCTAGTTATAAATGTTTGTTATAAATGCTGATTTGTAATACTTAAATGTATATTATTAATGCAATGTAATGCCAATGATGTTGGCACATGCATTATTTGGATGTGAACACTAAAATAGTACCACTAATTAAGTAGATTTTTCAGTAATTATATATGACCAAGCCCTTGAGAGTATTTCATATAGGAACTTGGAATCCTCCATGTGTTTACTAATTTTCACTTCACACGAAATTTATTTCCTGGAAAGCTAATATAAAAGCTATCCTTCTTGGACATTTCCTGAGAATAATAAAGATGCATTAAATTAATTTGTTTTTGTATCATGATGTACAATAACTCTGTGAGGATGTTTTTGTATTTGTTATAATTGGTATCATTTGTTATCAAAAGTCTTGAGCTTATTAAATACAGTCTTGAGCAGATTCAAAAGCTGTGCCCTCTGGGTGGCACAGCATTTTGAATCTGCTCAAGACTGTATTTAATAAGCAAATATAAAATAATAATTACTTCTTTTACTCTCTGTTTTCATAAATTTCTGTTCATGAAGAGAATATTTACATCATTAAAAAAAAGTAAGGAAATAGAATATATTAAATTAGAAGCTAAGATATTCCAAGGCCCCCCCCCAAAAAAAAAATCATGCCACTCAAGAAGACAGAAGGCCTTCGATTAATCGTTTCAGTCTTTCTGTTTTCCAACAAGATCTTAATCAACATATAAGGTTATATCTCCCACCTTCTTGGTGAGCCTTCGTGGTGTGATGGTCTGTACACTGGGCCGGTATTCCAGAGGTCCGTGCTTGGATTCCCAGTGAAGGCGTTGCTAATTTTTCATCTCTTCCAGTCTAAAAAATCCTAATGTCTCTACAAACATATCAGTCGTATACTCATACTTAATTTTAATTCTGAAACATCTCTATTATGTTAATGTCTTTCTGTAATATAGATTGACAAAATTTAAAAAAAAAAAAAAAAAAAAAAAAAATGAAAGTATGCTTTTTTTGCAAATATTTTGTGCTATCTATAATGAAGAGAAAGGGAAGGCAAAATTTTCAGGAAAGTTATGACTAATTGTCCCTCTTCCCAAGGTTTTGCATCTATTGTCTGTTTATGTAAAAGTAGCCAATACAAAATTATAGTGTCATGTATTTGATCTTGTAGATGACATCACCATCAGGTTTTCGCATACCATCATTTCCCTTTGGAAGTTCTGTAATCACTATGAAATTTCATCTCTTGTGTTTTTTGTTTCTAGTTTCATGTATAGAACTCATTTCTTGAATCAAGAAATCTTGAGAGAATCATATTTTGATGCATGTTGATATAGAACTGGACAAACAATGGAACCATTCATTATCTTAGCATATTAAAAATAAAAATTAACATTAATAGCTGCAGTGGGAATAGTAGAACCATATACAGTCAAAAGTCGTTAATCTGGACTCGTCGGGACTTCGGCGATTCCGGATTATCGATTTTTTCGGATTATAGATCATCAGTTTAAATCTGGTAAGATGGCATGCAGAAATTATAAAATTAAAAATATGAAACCGTAATTTATGAAATAAAGAACAATTATGATCTAAAGGGTATCAAAATTTACAAAAAAAAAGCTTAATATTTATTTGCTTACTTTATTAAACATTTCTTTCAATGTAAGTTGTTTTACGTTGCTTCATTTTATGTGATAATACTTTCTCTTTAATTCTATAAACAGACATAATTTCTTCTTCAATTACAAAGTTCCGCTGTTCAAGTCCTATAATTGCTGTGTCGAGAATACCGACTAATTTGTCAATCGAAATTTTTTCGCTTTCAATAAACTCTGTGACACTTTCTTCACTATCGGAAGCGAATTATAATGACAAGGAATTTGATTTAAATTATATCAAAGACGGAATACATCGAGATGAACTACTACATTGAGTAAGGAATTACAAGCCAAATAAAATAAAAACATCTGCCCTTAAGATAAGGATAGTGCTGACAGATCAACTTCCAATTCATTGCGCCTCCCCCCTGCCGCAAAGCAGCGTGAAATTGATTGGATTCAGAACCCACAGTCCTTCTCTAGAAAACGTAACTGTAGTTTGAGCACAGTTTTCCAGGAGAGTGATCGGTGGCGTTTCTGACGAATTGTATGGCAGTACAGGGAGTTCTACTGAGCTTCAACTGACATAGATTGTCAACCAAGGCTCTTCCCAACAGATTTCAGCTTGAATCATGTGCAGAGAATTGCTTGGTCGAATGCATGGTCGAATGCATAGAGAATTAGGAATGCATGGTCGGGTGCCTGTGAGAAAACCGCTCATTTCTGCTCTGCATGTAAGAATTTGTTTGCAGTGGTGTCAGGAAAGCAGACACTGGACATCTGAGAATTGGAAACGTGTAAT